GTTCGTGATGTCCGATCCACAGCTTAGACACGTTTGACTGATTGCGTTCGTGTTTGCCATTATCAGACACCTGTATGACGTCGATATTTTCAACCAGCTGGATGTGTCGTCTTTGCGGTCGCGAGGCTTGCGCAGAGTGCTTCCAGCAAGTCAGCGAGCTTACGACGGAGCCCCCAGGTGCTGCTGAAGCGGAGATTGTCGCTTTACAAGCGAAACGAGAGAAGCACGCCCACGTCAACCCATTCTTCCTTTCGTGCACACGGAGGAACGAGCATAGGGCTAGCGACTTTTCACCTATGTCGCGTTTCAGCAAAGAGGAACTCACAGAAGCCATCGCCGAGATGGAAGCCCTCCTGGGCCAAGCTCCCGATGGCGAAATCGTCGCGAAGAGCTCACCTGAAGCATCGAACGGTTCTGCAGGGTCAACAGAGCAGACGGGCGAATCCTCCGCATCGGGCCAAATTTCGAACAGTACATTGTCGTCTTTGAATACGCCTTCGCTTTCACCTGACGCCGATACTGACAAAAAGCCTATCGCTGAGCTTGCATCCGACTCCGCGAAGCCTGCGGAACCGTCTTCCTCTACCAGCGCACCACCACCGCCCGAGGAGGCAGTTTCGCCTCCGTCGATCCCATTCTACGAACCCCGGGTTTTCAGTGATGCTGAGCTTACAGATGAGGTCTTTTCGGAGATGTGGGCGAAGGGCGAGCCGCTGGTGGTCACCGGCCTCCTCCCCAAATTCCGCATATCATGGACGCCCGAGTATTTCACACAGAAGTATGGCACGCAGACTTGCCTCATTCTCGAGTGCCAAACCGACCTAAACAAGCGCGTCTCGGTCGGCGAGTTCTTCTCGTGGTTTGGCAAGTACGAGGGACGGAGAGACTGCTGGAAGCTCAAGGTGCGCTCATATACTTGTTGGGCCTTTGGCATCATCTCTGATGACGTCTAAAACAGGACTGGCCTCCATCTACTGACTTCAAGACGGCATTCCCGGAGTTATACGAAGACTTTGCCAACGGCACTCCAGCACCGAACTACGTCCGTCGCGACGGTGTACTGAACGTTGCTGCACACTTCCCAAACAACACCGTGGCCCCGGACCTCGGTACGTTTACTGCGAGCATTCAAGCTCCCTCTGTCCTCATATTATGTGACGTCGTTACAGGCCCAAAGATGTATAATGCTATGGCCTCTTACGAGTCGGAAGGTAGTAAGGGCTCAACGCGACTTCATCTCGACATGGCCGACGCAGTGAACGTGATGCTCTACGCATCGTCGACGCCCGGAGGTGAGCCGGGCTCCGCCGCGTGGGACCTTTTCAGGGCCGAGGACTCGAGCAAGATCCGCAAATTCTTGAAGCGCAAGTTCAAGGGCCAATTCCAGCACGACCCCATTCATTCCCAGCAGTTCTACCTGGACGCACCACTGCGCAAGGAGCTGTACGAGGAGTTTAGTGTGAAGAGCTATCGCATCTACCAGAAGCCCGGCGAGGCTGTGTTCATCCCCGCGGGTTGTGCGCACCAGGTTCGCCGTTTACGCCCACGTTGTCCAGCTCGGGGTCAACTGACAAGCCATGATCTGTAGGTATGCAACCTTGCCGACTGCATCAAGGTTGCATGTGACTTCATCAGTCCCGATAACATTGACCGGTGCGAGAACCTCACGAAAGAGTTCCGTGAGCAGAACCAGTCCATGGCGTGGAAAGAAGACGTTCTTCAGCTGCGGACGGCTATGTGGTTCGCCTGGCTGTCATGCAGCCGCCAGGAGAAGGAGATGCGCGGCGAGTCGTCGCCCCAGCCGTAATAAATCCCTTGGCTCCCATCTGACGGTGTCGTTGTCATGCTGAATCTCCCCATACAACCATCTACATAAATCAAGGTCCCACATATCATATGCAATCTGCTGTCGTGTCATTCGTATTGGTGTATTATTTTTCTCCGTCATTCTTACTTTCCATAGGGGTAGCCGGCGTAGAAGTGCTTGGGAAGTATGGGCCAGACGGACACGTACGATCGATACAATTATCGAGTAATTCTACATACAAAGCCGAAGAAATACACTCTTCGTAGAGGGATACGTCACACACAAAGGGGCAAGGACGGGTGCACGAGAAGGTACCCTCGGAACCCTGGGCCAGTAAGGAGACACTAGCTCGCGTTCGGCAACTGGCGGGGAAGATCGAAGCTCCACCATCCCGTGTTACCCTTCGTCGAGTCCTGATCAGAAGCTGGCGGGGGCCAAGTTGTGCCATGGACGATCGTTACCATTGCCGCTCCCAGACACGAAAGCGCGAGTAAAATGGCTCAGCAGGGCTGCGAGCACGAGTCTACCAGCCCCATTGCAGAGACTGGCTTGACGTTGCCGGCGTCGCCGCCACATCCCCCGACTTGCCCCATTGTCTATACACCTGTCACCGTCGCCGATGGTGAAGCCGCTTATATGTCCGGCTCTCGGTATATTCGTACCTCTCACAACCGATCCCATGTTTATTTGCGTAACTCCGCAGATGTTCTGCACAGAACCCTTGAGTGCAAGATCGTCTCGCTCGCTCTTCCTAGGACCTGGGGCAGCACCATACATGCGCGCCTACCGTCCACGTCCAGCATTTGGCTGGTGCTGTAGGAGGAAAAGTCAAATGTAGCTCACTGTTCGTAAGAAAGTTGATTACTTACAAGTAACTCGCATTTCTGACAGGCATCACCTACGATATAGATTCAGGTAAACGTCACAAAGTCAGGTATAGCCTTGGACCCTCCGGGCCACGCCTTGATCCGGCTCCAGGAGTAAATCTCAGAGAGGAGCTCCTCCGTGAGACCGCTAGTTCCGCCACTAACACTGAGATACTGCAACAGCGGCCTTCCGTGTCAATAGAGCACATCAGATCAGACGGAGACCTGCCTTGTGCGCCTCGTTGACGACTAGAACCTCACCAGAGTCTACTCTGGCGCGCAGGAAAAGCCTCGAGACGATCTCACGGTAGTCACAGATTGACCCTGGGTCGAGGTAGATGATGAGGTGGAAAGGCGGAGAGAACGACGATAATGAGCTGATCGATATGCCATCTCGAGAGAAAGGCTTTTCCAGGGAAACAGAATGCTCATGCGCTATTTCAAGGCGATCTGCTGGTGTTTCGGAGGAGGGCGTACTCTTCTTCTAGGCAAAGCATGAAGCTGACAAAGGTGTAGCGTTCACTTAGTGGTGCGTGTGACATCGCCATGGTCAACAAAATCCTCGACGAACAGCGTTTCTACCTATCCGAGTCTCAGTACATTATCTGAAGAAAGAAGATTTTTTATTTGCAATTTACAGCTACTAACAAAACGATAGACCGCAAACTGTTCGCCGTAGCTTTGTTTACTTTTGGAGCGGAACAAACAAAGAATCGAGATTCTGTCCCAAAAAAACGGCAGCGAACGTGTTCCCTCATCCCAAGTTGTATCCGCTCATTTTTGTGCTCCAACATCTGGCTTTCGACTCGTTTACAATGCCTGAAGTTCGAGAGAAAGGCGGCAACTCCATTAGGTTCCCACGCCATTGAGCCCGGTGTCACAAGGTTTCAAAGTGGCCTATCGTTTTGCAACTGGCTGTAACAGTTTGCGGTCTATCGTTTTGTTAGTAGCTGTAACGACCTCCGCCACGTAATCTAGATTGTCTGCCGGTTCAGAGGTCAGGCAATCTGCTTCAAGTAGCTTAAAGCTCTGAGTGGCTGCTTATCCCGATCTTCTGGGCTAGATAGTTCCAGAGTAGAGTAAATTTCGGAGAAAGCGAAAACACGCACGAGTCTGACATCATTCAAGGCCAGCCCCGGCCCGCGCCCTGTCCTCAGGCCCTCCCACCAATTGTCATGGGTCCTCCCGCGCTGCGTCTTACACCCGCAGTCCGGTGTCCAAACAGCCTGCCGGGAATAACTTTGATCTTGACCGAGTTTCTTGCTGTGCACAGTTACAGCGTGCGTCCCACTCATGTCTCTCTTCCAAGTCCCTGGCTGGTCGGTGCCAGCAACTCCCGTACCATCAGGTTCAAACTCCAAGAAGCGCAAGCGTCCTGCAAAGGAACCCGAGTCCGACGCAAAAACTCACGCCGCTACTGTCAATATAGATAAGCTTGTCGCAAAGCTTGGCGAGGGTGAGGGTCTACAAGCCAAGAAGAAGGCTAGGAAGGACAAGGGGAAGGGAAAAATACACGACCTTTCTGCTGCGAAGCGCGAACCAAAGCAGATCCATAGCTCGCAGAGAACCAAAGAGCCTAAGGACGGGAGCAGGCCCGCACCCCCATTGGCAAGCGGGTCGAAAAAGAACAAGAACAAGAATAAGAAGTTGCAGCAGCAGGAGACAAAAACTTCCAACTCTGTTTCGCCACCAAAGCCCGCTGCGCAGAAAGGCAAGAATGCGAGTCCTGGGCAGGGGCTTACCGCTCTTCAAGCGAATATGAAGCACAGTCTTGACGGCGCACGCTTCAGGTGTGTCTATGTCTACACGCTTATTCTTCTTCTTTGCTACTAACGGCCTCTCAGATGGATAAACGAGACGCTGTATAAGTCTGACAGTGACCACGCTCGGCAGATGATGCGCGAGAATCCCTCTGTATTCTCCGAGGTGTGTCTCTTTGGACATCTGCACGCCCCTCTAACTATCTCATAGTATCATACGGGCTTCCGTCATCAAGTCCAGTCCTGGCCCGTGAACCCCGTAGCACACTACATCTCTGCACTCTCGAAACATCCTGCAAAGACAGTCGTTGCAGACCTCGGCTGTGGCGACGCCACACTTGCCAAAGCACTCGTGCCGAACGGCTTTACCGTCCTGTCCTTTGATCTTGTATCTGACAAAGATTATGTCGTCGAGACGGACATCTGTACACGGATACCCCTACCAGGATCGGATACCGACGGAGCACAGATCGTCGACGTCGTTGTGTGCGCACTAAGCCTGATGAGCGTGAATTGGGTCGGTTGCATCAGAGAGGCATGGAGGATACTCAAAACGGAGTACGTCTGTCACCGTAGCCCGCGGGCTGTCTTCGTACTGAATAATGATCCTTGCACCTGTAGAGGCGAACTCAAAATTGCCGAAGTTGCAAGTCGGTTTACCGAAGTGGAAGCGTTCATCTCGCTTGTATCGTCTGTCGGTTTCCGTCTGAAGTCGAAGGTCTGTCTAAAACTGCGCGATGGTGGCTATGACAAGGCTGACTCGCGGCGTTTAGGACGACAGTAACACTCATTTCACATTATTCGAATTTGCCAAGGCAGATCGGAAGCCGAAAAGCGAGAAAGAGTGGAGCAAGCTCACAGAGCGCGGGAGCATTCTAAAGCCTTGCGAATACAAGCGGCGATAACGATCCAGATTAAATGAAAAAATGAGCTGCTTTGGCACTGCTGTTACATTGGATACGATTTATGCTTGACCCTGTTCTCACGCCCTAGGAGGGACCGCAATGGTACGGCCCTCCTTTGAACTCTGGAGCGCAAGTTCAATCAGTTCAATGACTTCGGCCGACTGCTCAAACGTCACAGCTTGAGGAGCCTTCTCCCGGATCGCCCTTGCAACATCGCGGAAGAGACCAGCGTAGTCGCCCTTATGTTTTGACGGCCAGCTGCAGCAGAACATGTCAGGCGGTCGCTCATATATACTGGGATGAGAGACTCACATCGACCGCACGACCTCATCTCCCTTCTGGTTCTCCAGGGTACCGTACAGCTCCTCCGGCTCCTGGCCGTAGGTCGCCGAGGTGAAGATGTCGGACGGCGCGCTGATGACGTTAAGCTGGTCCTCCTGCACGTCGACGCCGTACTTGGTGTACGTGCCCTGCGTGCCGCGGACGATGTACCGCACCTGCGGAGACTTGACGGAGAGGAGCGCGCCGCGGAGGGTGACGGTGAAAGAAGTCGGCTTCACTGGGGCGTCAGCGGGCGAACTGAGAGGCGGGTAGCGGAGGGTGACAGTGAACTGCAGCCATGTAAGCAAAAAGTGAGTGAAACACGGCGTTGGAGAGACGTACAGTGTCGTCGACGTCCGGGTGCCCGATTCCCCTGATGTTCTCGACCCTCGCGGTGACCGTCTGCGGCCGTCCGAAGAGGACGAGAGCCTGGTCGATGATGTGGGCCGCGAGGTCGTACGTGAGCCCGTTCGCAGGCAGGGGCTCGTCCTTCCACGTGCCCTTGAGGGTGGTGCGGTACCGGTCGAAACGCGACTCGAACTCCCAGAGCGTGCCGAGCGAGTTTGGATCGCTCGGCGGCAGCGCGAGCAGGGTCTTGAGCGCGAGGAAGTCCGAGTCCCAGCGTCGGTTCTGGTATGGGTACAGCACGAGGCCTTTAGACTTCGCGAGCGCGTCGAGCTCCTTCGCCTGTGCAGAGGTCGCAGTCACTGGCTTGTCAACAAGCACTATCGAGACCGTTCAGTATATGCTAAGGAGGTGGGGTATGGACAGACGTACCATGTTTGCCCGCCTCGAGCGTCCGCTTCGCAAACTCGTAGTGCGTCTCACTGGGAGTGCCAATGATAACGAGCTCGACTTCAGGGTCAGCTAGGACCTGGTCGAGGGTGTTGTGGATCGTGACACCCTTGGCAGCGTCGGGGCCGAAGCGAGCCTGCAGCTTGCCACCAGGCCCTGCGGGCTTGCGCTCGAGGACAGCGTGCAACTTGAAGAGCTCCGGAAGTGCGAGCACGAAGGGGACGTGGAACGTTAGGCCAGAGAGACCAACGCCCAGGACGGCAGTCTTGATTGGTCCGCTCATGTCTATGTATGACAACTTCGTGAGCACAAGTGTCCAGAAGATGGGCGATGCTTGGATGCTCACCGGTGGATGAAACAAGCAAGACTGGGCAGCAGAAGACCGAGAATGACAAAACTCTCAGCAAGGGTCATCTTATATAGTCTGCGAGGTATGGCGGCCCGGACCCTCAGGTGGTGAAAACATCGATCGCTCATTGGACACGCAGGAATTTGCGTCAGAGATGTCCATTCAACGCGACGACGCGACAATGACGCCAACTCATCTATCGCGAATCCGAGGCACCAACTCACAGAAAACTTGCAACCATTTGACGCGGCGCAGGTGGAGGTGGTGGATCGAGTCAAGACGCGCGATCGCCTCCGCGCGCCGGACACCAGCGACATTATGCATCTCCCATTCTAACAGCCACCTCCAGTTCGTTCCCCTCTCACGCGCATGATAGCACCAACGGTGACTGCTCACAAGGTCACCAGTGGGCTCAGCAATGCAATAGCTGCGAACGGAAATAGGCATCGATAGTAGTACGGATTCCGATGAAAATAGCGGAAGAGTAGAAGGATGTGCATGTGCTACAACGGTGTTGGCATAATCTACAGGCCAGGGCCACTAAAATTGCTACGTATATTATGGAGATACGGAAATAAGTCATGGGCACAGTCGTGGAGAAGTTCGTGAGGTATCCTGAGTGTATGATCTAAGGTGGGGAGGTTCACCGGTCTTTGCGAGACTCATCTGAGTTGGGAGCGGGAGCGGTCTGAGACGGGATGGTTTCGAGGGGGAGCTCGACGTTGCTAATGCTAGGTGATAGACCCTTGCCCGAGAGCGACGGAGAGCCCGCGACAGTTGAAAGTTCATCATCGCTCTGGGGACCGAGGGTAGGGCTTGACCGCTCCGAGCGCGACGTTGCCTCTGCAAGCTCCTTCCGCAGGGCCTCTAATTCCTTCTCGAACCTATGATGGATCGGTTAGCGCACGCAAACACTCCATAAGGTAGCTACATACTTCCTCCCAAAGACTTCGATGTAGAAACCTCCACCGTTCCATACACTGACAGCAAAGATGAAGAGGATGAGGGCACCGCTCCAGAACGGACTATCATAGAGCAAGAACAGAGCGGGAATCTCCGTCAGGACGGCGTATCCTAGTATGGCGATCAGGCGTGTCCGGAGGGTGCTGAGGAGCCGGTGAACGTACCAAGCTGACCCAGCATGAAGAACGGCTCGCGATACTGGGGAGGTATTGCCGACAAAACGCGTCCGATCACGCCGCGTTTATCATTCAGGAGGAACGAGAACGACGTTGTACGTTGCCCCGACTCGATCTTCTTGCGGCGATCAATGAGAACGAACTACATCACACGATGTCAAGTCAAATACATGTCAATGGTGCCTTGGTCTCACCTTCCAGTAGAGTAGTTGCCAGATGAGGTCTGGAAGACCCGTCAGCACGCAGATTTTGACACACGTACGGAACTTACAGATGATAGAGCTCAACAGAAGAGCGCGGAACGGCTGCATATGGGGGAGCTCTTTAAGTGCCGGGAAGCGTGTCGCAGCATCGGGATAATAATGACTGGTACAATTAGCAACTGACGTAGCACAAGGACGCGAGAACATACCGAATAACAGTGAAAGTCAAAGGCGGGTAGATGTGGATGAATAACGAGGTGACCTTATCCATGTCATGGAAGACGAGGCTATTTCTCCACGTGATAACTGCGCTCGCAAGCGACCCATGCGAAAGACAGTAACACGCAAGGAATAAAGCAGGGCTGGACGGCAAAATCCACAGATATAGCAGGTTGAGGATATTGCAGTAGTAGCAGAGATCGAAGAGGAAATAGTGCCAGGCACGCTTCTTGTAATAGACCGCGCGGATTGGGAGGAGGATGGCGGTACCAATGGTATACGCGATGTGAATATATCTAAGGATATCTCAACACCGGCAAGCATAAAATCAAGCAAATAACGCACTGAGGGTAACTGCCGAACATGAGCGCTGTCGCGAGGAGAGACATGACGCCGAGGAAGAAAGAGATTTTCTCGCGGGTACGAACAATCTTTGCAGATTGCCAAGAAGCGGTCAACGAGGTCATCCTATGAGACACCTGGAAAATCCTATGCTTCAGCGACAGGCATACAGTGAGATGACGCATAGACGCGCCTTGAGCTTGAACTTTTGCATCTCGCGTTCCAGGTTGTCTGTGAGGACCTCTCCAGATTGTGACTTCATTTGCTTGAGCAGATCCTTGCGGAGACCCTGAAGTGCTTGATCAGCCTTCATCTTCAGGCGATCGCTCTGCTTTGCGAGGTTGCGTTGTAAAAGATCAAGACGCGAGTCGAAAAAGGTCTCCATGGTGTCTGTGGAGAGTGAGTACACGACTGGCGGGTAGGACTAAGAAGAACACACACCTAGCAGAGTAAAGCCGCTCGCAAAATCGGACAATTCGTCCTTGACAAAACGTTCGAAGGGAATCGAAAAGTAGCCAGAGCCGTGGTTGGCGCCGCCGTTGGGAGTGCTAGACTCTGTTCTCGGCAGTGGCGACTGGGAGGCGCGCTCCTCTGTCGCAGTCGACATTGTGCGTGGTTTTTGTTCGTTGCAAGACAAAGAGAGAGATAATGAGAAAGAAGAGATGGAGACAGCGCGTTAAGAACGCGACTTCCTCGAGACTGTGGCCAGCAGAGCGTGAGTGCGGAGACGTCCGTGTTCGACATCTGATTCTGTAGTGACGCATCTGCTTATGTAATCTGGCGTGGCGCGCGTTCTCCTACTGCGGACACCGACGCGAGGGCGAGAGCACCCTATCTTCTCGATGTTCGCTGGTCATGCAGCGATTATAAGAGGCCGTGATGGTCCCGCACATACGCAAGAAAAGAGCGGCCGGCGGCTTGGTGTTGAAGAAGTTGCTTTCCCAGGCCGTAACGGTTCTCCCTGCGGCATGTCCCATGTATGCCCACGGGACACTGACTCTGAGAGTGCACACATGAGGCCGCAATGCGAATCGGGTACGAGAACTTGATCAGGCTACTGTGAAAGACTTCCAGACGCCACATATGCGCACTGGGCTCGGAGCGTGCATCTGTCACTGGTGTGCTGGCGAGCTGCCGGTGTAGCCACGACACGGAGGGGCTACCCCGGCTTGCTTATCTGATAAGTCCAGAGCCAGGTCACGTGAGGCAGATTTCAAACTCCGAGACGCTTGGTGAGATGATGAGTGCGGCACTCCGCGCACACTCTGCCCACGAACGACCACCACGCTGGACACCATGTTTCGCGCTGCTCTCTCAAAATCTGTGCTCAATGCTGCTCCCCGCGCAAGCCGGGTCACGCTTCGCCCTGTTCTCGCCCGCGGGTACCATGAGAAAGTGATCTCGCACTACGAACAGCCTAGAAACGTGAGCGCCGCGCAGTCTGGCCAGGCCGAGAACATAGTTATCTGATATCCACTGCCTTATGTTCCCCAGGTCGGCTCTCTCCCAAAGAACGCTCCTGATGTCGGGACCGGTCTTGTCGGCGCACCTGCGTGAGTGTCCAGACCTTGCCCCTGTGCCGTCGCTGACACTCTCGGACAGTTGCGGAGACGTCATGAAGCTCCAAATTCGCGTGGACGAGAGCGGAATCATCCAGGATGTCAAGTTCAAGACCTTTGGTTGCGGCAGCGCCATCGCTTCCAGCTCGTACATGACCGAGCGGGTAAAGGGTCTGTCGCTGGAAGACGCTGAGAAGATCAAAAACACGGAAATCGCGAAGGAGCTTTGCTTGCCGCCAGTCAAACTCCACTGCTCAAGTACGTTGCTTCATACCCTACTTCGCTGCAACTCTGGACTCACTCTGCTTATAAGTGCTTGCTGAGGACGCCATCCGATCAGCAATCAAGGATTATCGCACAAAGCGCAGCCAGCTGTCGAACCCGAAGCAGTCTGGATTCATTGACGTTACGCAGAGCTCTGCAACGGCAACTGCGCACCCATCATCTGCTTGATTCTTCTTCGTTTTCCTCTTTTCTTTTCCTTGCATTTTGCTATCCTATGTCATTTCACCTAGTCATCCTGTAACATTAGGTTATCTGTGTCTCGCACGCATCGCATTAAAAGAGATATCAAAGTTTACATGCGTACATCCCTCGTGTGCAGTGTCTAGGAAGTAGCGAGCCGAATATCGGTTTCAGGTGCTCTTCTGGTCGCCCTTCTGACCAACAAATGAGAACGTGCCTCCTGCGAACCACCTGTCGTTCGCCTCCTTCACGCGTGCGGCGGCAGCAGATTTGTTCGTAAGCTCGAAGCCTTGCACCGGTGTGACGGTCAGCGATGTCGCAGTGCCTGATGTCTGCGTGCCGCCGGCCTGCGCGGCCCTCGTGAGTGCGGCCGTCCGCAGCTTGTTCGCCTTGGAGAGTTTCGCTGGAGCACCATCGTCAGTCTCCACAGAGTCCGGCAAGCATGTTTACACGAGAACTTACCGCGGCTCTTCGCCTCACCGACGCCTGCCCTCACCTTGCCTGAGCCGATCATGCCCAGGCCCTTTGTCTGGTCGAACGCGCCGACCTCTTCTTCCGCCTCGCCGAACGCCATGCGGTTCTGCAGCTTGCGAAGCTCGGTCTGCGCGTACGCCTCTTTCGCTTTGCGAGCCCTGTCCTCCGGGCCGAAGGTCAGTGCTGACGGAAAGGTCCATTAGGTAGTGACACGCACCGCTTTCCTCCACGACGCTTCTTGGGACCGTCGTTCGGAATCGCCAGCGCCTTTACGATCTTACTCGGAGGAGGAGCAGCCAGGCGGTCGACATGCTTCTCAATTTTCTCCCGCAGATCCTGCCCGTAGCTGCCTGCATCGAAGATCAGCCTCAAGAGCGGGATAGGACTCGTGAAAAACGTACCGTCCCGCCGTTGGCGTTCCAGATCCATGCGTGCCGCGAGTGCACACTTCGCGCCGACTGTACGCTGAACCTTGAGCTGGTACTCTGAGGGTGTGGTCTGCAGGATTTCCGATTGGAAGATGAATCCGGTGTGACGGCGCTGAGTGGCAGTGGAGAAACCGGCTGTGATCTTCTTCTGAGCACCTAACAGCTGTACGAGGGTCAGGTTAGGATAGTATGCATACACGAATAGAAAACTTACGTGGACGTTGCAGGCCGGCATCTTAGCGAGACCATTCAGACCACCGGCGACACCAAGTAACTTCGCAGCTGTAGTTGTACCGACAATAGCTGACAGGTTGGGTGCAAGAATATTCATTCGCGAGCTCACGTACATGAAAATCTGCAAATATATATTATTAGCACTCTGGCTTCTTCTTACACGCCGAGAACGCAACACACCTTTTTCCGAACCTCCTCCAAGTTGTCGGCAAGATCGCAGGCGCGTTGAACAGCCTCCCACTCAGCTTCTGAGAGGGGCTGACCGGTGGTAGTGGTAGCAGTGATCATGACAGACATGACAATTGCTGCGGGAAGAATGGTATTGAGGTTGACTTTGGTGGGATCCTGTGGACAGAAGTCAATCGGCCGAAGGGTATGAGGAGAAGAATAGGGGATTCACCTCCGAATTACCAAGTGCGCGCACAGTACGAATGTACATTGGCGGCTCTTGGACCAATTGCTCCAGTTCGGGGAACTTTGATGCGTAATGGTCTCTAATGAACTGAGACAGGTGTCAAGGACATATAAGAGCTAATGGGCTAGTCGGTGCGCACCTTGTGTACAACCATGATCTCATTGTCAACATCTACTGATAGGTTGTTCGCCTGCACGATAACATTATACTCCGGATTCGAGTGGGTCGGAAGTGCCATCTGCTCCGGCGTGCTAGGGTTTGCCTGGTACTTGTCGATTTCCTAGGAGCAAGGTCAGGCTAGGAAGGTTAACGAATTAAGGGCGGACACACCTTCAAGATGTCATTCATGCGCTTGCTACCATACACCTTGGCAATCTTTCGCACGTCTTCCACTGCTCCGAGTTCCATGCGTTGTACTTCCTCAGCATCCAGTTCCTCAGCAGGCTTCATACCGCCCTCCAGCACCAAGCTTCCAACGGCCTTTTGCGCATCTTGCCCGCCATCTTCCCCCTCGCCCTCCGACATGACCTCATCCTCGTCCCCGACCTCCGCAGGTGCCTTCCGCTTGAGACCACTGCTTGACCCGGCCTGAGGCTGCTGCTCTTGTTCTTGTTCGTCTTCCCTATACTCTTCCTCGCCCTCTGAGAGCCCTTCAAGGTCTGCCAAGAGCTCGTCTGCGAGCGCGCTCATGTCTACGAGGCTGCTTTGAGGGGAGACTGTCGGCGTGGACGGGTGGAATGCTATGGCTGAGGTCGAAGCAGGTCGAAGGCACAAGCGCCCTGATGCAAGTGAGTCACGTGCGTCGCAGAGTGATCGGATCGGACCTTCCCCGGACGGGAGGTGAGCTCAAAGCAGCACTGAGAATTACGCCCTCAATTTCCTGTCCTTTCTCCTAGCCTTTGACGTGTCCTAGCTCATCGACTCTAGAGCAGCAGACACACAGCCAGATACTAACATGCTGCGCAAGACACTCCTGCACCGCTCGCTCCAGCAGAGTGTGCGCCATTCACGCCGTTCCTACCATGCCTCTGTCCTGCCGTCCCTCATCTCCACCTCGTCGCCAGAGTTCGTGGCAAAGTCAGAGGCAATGAATACCGTGGTGGCAGATTTCGAAGCAAAGGTTGCCGCAGCGAGATTGGGCGGCGGCCAGAAGGCGGCTGAGCGGATGAGGAGCAAGGGGAAGAAGCTTCCCCGCGAAAGGTCGGTTCCCCGCATCTGAAGTGCAGACGCGACCTAATGCTGCATATGACATGAAAACAGGATAGCATTACTGCTTGACCCACATACTCCTTTCCTTGAATTGTCACAGCTTGCTGCACACGATGTCTACTCGGACAATGTGCCAGGTGCAGGTATAATCACGGGCATTGGGAGAATATCCGGTCGCGAATGTGTGGTTGTCGCGAACGATGCGACTGTCAAGGGTGGCTCGTACTACCCCCTCACTGTTAGTGACAACACTTCAGTTCCTGTCTTGTGACGTGGCTCATTGAATTAGGTCAATAGGTCAAGAAACATATCCGTGCACAAGAGGTTGCTCGCGAGCATGGCCTACCATGTGTATATGTCGGTATGCGCATGTTGTTATTTTGTTGGTACACTGACCTCACGAATTCGTAGTCGAGTCTGGCGGTGCCGCGCTTCCCCACCAGGCCAATGTAGGCACTCTGAGCTTATTACCGTGGATGCGTACCCTGAAGCGCTGCCTCTTCTAGGTGTTCCCGGACAAAGAACACTTTGGTCGCATCTTCTACAATATGGCAAGTGTCATCCTGAACGGACGTTTGACGTAGTTTTCACAATCAAACCCCCTAGGCGCAAATGTCGGCTCTTGGCATACCACAAGTCGCCATTGTACATGGTATCTCCGTCGCAGGAGGTGCCTACGTACCAGCAATGGCAGACGAGAACATTATTGTTCGAGAGCAAGGACGAATTTTCCTGGCGGGACCTCCTCTGGTAAAGGCCGCAACCGGCGAAGAGGTAGACGAGGAAACCCTCGGAGGAGGTATGATGCACTCGTCCGAGTCCGGAGTGACAGATCACCTCGCCCGTGATGACGAGCACGCTATTGCTATTGCTCGCGGGATTGTCAGCGACCTCGGCTCTGCTGGCGGACGGATGCTGCCGGTGAGATTGACGGATTTGCGGACCAATGCTTCATACTAATCGCTGTGCAGCCACCACAACCAGCAGAAGACCCTATATATCCCGCGCATGAACTACATGGGATCGTAGGCACTGACCTCCGACAAGCATTTGACATGCGCGACGTCATCGCACGAATCGTCGATGGCAGCCGTTTCCGTGAGTTCAAGAAGGAGTACGGTACTTCGATCGTCACCGTGAGTCTATTGCTTTCGTTAGATGCATCTTGTCTTCACAAGCGGCCGGCTAGGGTTTTGCCAACGTCCACGGCTATCCAGTCGGTATCGTGGCGAATAACGGCATCCTCTTCTCCCAGTCTGCTTTGAAAGCCACCCACTTCATCGAGCTTTGCTCGCAACGGCAGATCCCACTGTTGTTCTTGGTGAACGTCACCGGTTACATGGTCGGCTCCAAGGCTGAGAAGGGTGGTATTGCGAAGGACGGCGCGAAGATGGTCAGGGCCGTCGCTTGCGCAGACGTTCCGAAGCTCACAGTCGTCGTTGGTGGAAGCTACGGTGCTGGAAACTACGGCATGTGCGGTAGAGCTGTGAGTGCTTGCCAGGCTCTAGTGTTGTGTGTATTGATACTGATGGCTGTGCGCCCTCAGTACTCTCCAAGATTCCTCTGGATGTGGCCGGTACGTTTTGATTTATGTCGGTGCTGGCCTTTGCTAAACTTTGCCCGCGCAGAACGCGAAAGTATCAGTCATGGGTCCAGGACAACTTTCTCAAGTCATGTCTCAAGTATCCAAGTACGTGTTGTGCTTATCGTCCACTGAAATCGCTCACATCCCTGTAGGGACCCAACTAAACATTCCACACTCAAGGAGGAAATCGAGGAGCAGTCAACAGCGCTATACGCAACGGCTCGTCTGTGGGATGACGGTATCATAAAGCCGGTGGACACCCGCGACACCGTTGGCCTCGCACTCGCGCTATCGGCACGCGAACGCAGACCGCCGGGCTCAGGCTCGAGTGGTTTGACGACCTGGGACGGCGATAGGAAGGGCTTCGGAGTCTTCCGCATGTAAATTAGACGAACGTCAGACAACATGCATGCATCTATCTCGTATGGCAGGAGCGGAACGTCCGAACGCAGAATTCGTAGAGGGGCGCGATTAGTCCGCGCGTCGCCGTTTGCGCAGGAGGTCTTCGTCGACGTCCATCGCATCTCCGTCTTTCTCCCGTTTGCCCGACGGCGATTGAGCAAATCCGGCGGACAAAGCAGGAGCCGTCCAGACGTTAATCTTAGAGTCTTCGCCTCCCGTTATGAGGATATTATTCTGCGGGGACGTAAGAACATGCACCCCCGACTGACTGCGAAAATGGAACGTACCTCTTCGTCCCACAGTGCGGACCTCACGACACCGACATGGGCGTTGGTCCACAGACGCTCCAGCGTCCATGGTACCGAGGCGTCGGAGAGCGTCGGTCGAGTGACCAAAGCGATGTCGCCTCTAGTAACCAGCGACAATTAATTGTTGCACACGGACTACATACACAAGTGTGACACGCACTCGTTCGACCCGGCGAAGACGCACAAGTCGTTGTCACGGGAGGGAGGAATCGCAGAGCTGTTGTGACAGCCAATGAGATAGTCCGTTACCCACGTAAGGTCCTGGCCGTGAATCGACGGTTGGCGGATGTCAACGTCGTAAACCATATCCAGCTGCACGAGACGTGAGCTTCTCCGCGGCGTCTGTGAAGGACAGATACTTACTTCGCCAGACCATGCGCTGAAGGTCTCCATATCGCTCGAGGCCCACACCCCAGGAGAACCGGATCGCCCGCGCACCCACCCGGCCTGGGCGACACTACAGCCCCAGTTCCCGACGTGCAGCCCAGCCTCGTCTTCGTCTGCCTCATCGGCGTTCGAGGTACTGATCAGGCCGTCTGTCGAGACTGAGAGCAGCACATTGCGCAGAGGTGTGGAGGACGATCGGAGGAAGTGGACGGCGGTGATATCGTCCGAGTGGGTGTAGGAGTGCACGCGAAGAGGTGCGGCAGGGTTTCGCGGGTCCCTGTCGCAAAGTGTATGGGTGAGCCCATGTGTATGCGGGGATTTCAGAGCATACTTACCAATACAGAAGGGACGCATCGTCCCCTTGCAGGTCTGTCCCTGCGGCTACGGTCATCCCGTTGGCAGAAACATCGCAAGATAGCAGGGCGCGTTTTCTTCCCGCAGCAAGCCCTTGCACTAGCGGATCCACACGTCTTGCTTGAGTTTAGCCTACATCAGCGATGAGATCAGGTATTTCTACTCACTCTGAACCGACGCGGATCCTGTCCGCTCGTCCCACACCTTTACGAGGCCGTCCTTGCCACACGAGACCAAGGTCTCTTTTGAGACCCCAGCAAAGTTGGGCACAGCCCGCATAGTGGTTATCGCCTCGTCGTGCCCCGCGACTTGCGAAACGGGGCGCAGGTTTGACTTGTCATAGAAATGGATAGTGTTGGACGGTGCGGACGAGGACGCGGCATAGCACGACTGTATTGCTGCTAGGGAAAGCACGTAAGCGTCGCCCGGTAGCGAAGCCGACTTTATGGGTTTCGATGTGGTCGTGAAGTGGGGAGACTCGGAGAGAGACATCCTGGAGAAGAGCGCGACAGAGCTGCTTGGAGAGTTGCCCGAACAGGACACGAACAAATTGCTTGACGACAGGCGCTTGGCGGGGGCGGGGTCTGGGCTCGGCGTGGTGCCGTTGTGATGGGTGCCTGCGGGACTTGCTCTTTGTTTCATCCCACCCACCTCGTTGCCTCTGCAGTCGCTCCACTGCGATCGTTGGCTCCCGTCTCACTACTTTCGCTTTCACTTACGCACAGATCGTGCATCTCACTCTCGTTTAAACCACCACTCTTTTCATATTAACAAAAAGCCCCAACCACTTCTACCTTTCTTGTGTCCAATTTAGAATCCGCTACCTCGATCATATTAACTTTCTCGTCCACATCACTAACATTTTCGAAACATGGTTCACAATGGTACGGGCCAGCTAGGTATCATCCTGCGAAACGCGTTAATCATCACGATGTTCGTTTATAGGTCCCCGTCGGCTCAACCGCCTGCCACAACGCCTGGATTATACTCTGATCCCTGCACCCCTCGGTACGTTTCCACATGTTTCGAAATCTCATCCAAAGCTCACTCGACGCGTGCCTACCGCAACCAGACTTGTCACTTCCGCTTGTCGACGAGAAGGCCGCATTACCAGCCATCATCGTGACGCCGTCGTCTCCCTCAGGGCAAACCGACTTTTCCATCGCCTTCCTCGCGCCTCCCGAGACGCCCACCTTTAAGCAGCGCGTATTTTCCGCGTTGTCCAATCTTCCCAGGCCGTCTTCACTCCAGCCGCGTCTCCCCTCGCAGATCCAGCTGCCGGCTACGCCCTATAAAACCGAATTCGACTCTTCACCTTCATGGACGCTGAAGACAAGGGCCAGCACCACTATCCTCATGGCTATTCTCGTCTTCATTTTCGGCTGCCACCTCTTGCTGCACAGTCTCGCCTCGTTGCACCCTCGCATGGACTACGGAACCGCGTCGGACGACAGCGTCGTTGCTGCCGTCTTTGGTGGCGACGTCGACAGCATAGGCGGTGCACACCGTGACTCGTCCGATTCTGCAACACCAGCTCTCGGCGGTGCCTTCAATCTGCATTCCTTGTGGGCGCCGGGCCATTCGTTCGGTGGCTTTGGTGGTAAGCGTAGCAGCCACGCACGCTTTGTCATATCGGAACCGAAAGAGCTCAAGGTCGAGCCCACGCAGTCCACCAACGTTTAGATGGGAGAGATGGATCTACGTGGCTGTTTATAACAGCATGACACGACCTTCTATGTCCTTGACGCTGCCCCACCTGGGTCTGTGCATATGTTGTTTTTACCCTCGGGTCGCCGGCTCTTGCGCCGGCTTCGATACCTTCACGGCTGCATGTTCTGGAGCGCACTCCTCGTACTTAGGTGCTACCCTCGGCATAATTTGGATTCTGCTCTATTTATTGGGTGTCCTTGTTCGTGTCGCTGTATCGTCGTAGGTTATATAGGCGATCTTGGCCGCCGAACGTGGCATCTCCTTTGTTCTTCTGTGTAACCCCGTTGTGGCGCAGCTTCGTGTGGCGTGCATAGTTGAACTTGGAGCCATGTAACCTAGATACCCGAGGCTTTGTATTACTACTTTTGTTTGCAGCTCCACCCTCCGTGGGTACTGTCACCACCGTCGAGCACTGCCCGCCACTGTCAAATATCACGGACAGTTGCAATCAAGCACGCGCACGTCGACGGTGTCTCTGCCACTGGCAGGTGAGTGGGTAGCAACATATTACGGCATACGCAAACAATACTTTACCTTGCCTCCTGCAGGGCGCAGCGGCTGTGCGACGGTCGGCCCAACCACGACGCATGCCGGATTAGGAAGTGCATTTGTTAGTTGCAGGATCCGCGGGAAACATCCCAGACTTTCATTGGCCGCTGGTCGCTTGGCGCGCGTGCTGTGCTCGTCCCTGAACGTAACCATCTCCGCCCTAGGCGGGGCAGTTTACGGACTCATCCTCCACGCCGAGCCAGGGCCAACCAAACAAAGTTCGCGTAACTGGAACTCTATCGCCTCGTTTTCCCTTGATAACATTGCCTTTCGCAGTCTTTCGCAGCCTTTCGTGGCAGAGCTTGTGGGGTTCAGCATGCCTGTGCACTGCTACGGCGAGCAGAATGTACGCGCAAAGACGCGACTCGTCTTTGCTTGCTCGCTGACAAGGTGACTCCTCGGGGGATCGACAGGCAGCGTCTCGACAATGCGTGATCAGCGCCCAATATCCGTATATGTAGCCTAGTCTCAACCCAAAGGAGCACGGATGCGGCGAGGTGAGGTGATTTATGATTTTGGTCCGTCATCAGCCAACTGAATGACAGGCACCGTCGTTCGACACAGCAACCGCCAAACTGCCCTGGTTCTACAACATCCGGATCGATATAAGGATGCCTGGTACCGGAAGCTTGAGAGCTAGGACCGCTTTTCTCTTTCGCCTCTGTACTTTGCTCCTTCTTTGTCCGCCCCGATTGTGCACAAAATGCCCGGACACTGGATAGGGTTGACTCGCCTCGGAGTGTTCTGTACGCACTCCGCCTCATGACCCGCTCACCATATCCTGACACCGAGCCACCCAGGTGCCGTCCCGGTCTTCGCCATCATCGTCCTTGGGCTCGGCGCCGACTGGATCGCCGTCACCGAAGATGAGGAGGGCGGGTACTTTGATTACGCCGCTCTGGCCGTCGCTACCGCCGTGCTCACCCTGGTGACCATGCCTGCGATGTACGCGCAATTGCCCCCGACGGTTACATCACTCACTGATATTGCCTTCCGCTTTCAGGCTGATCATCGACTTCCTCCGGCGCGGCGCGTTCACCTCCATGATCCTCGTCGAGATTGTCTGGCTCGGTAAGCGACCAGGGGCGAGATCAATCGCCAACATGATGCTGACGCCACGCGTCGCCAGGCATCCTCTGGGTTCTCTGGCTCACGACAGGCTCCTTCGCCGCGAACCAGCTCGGGGACGTCAGCAGCTGCAACTCTGCGTTCTTCCCCCAGTGGGCGAAGACGGGCTGCTCCGAGACGCAGGCGATCATCGCCTTCGCCTTCCTCGCCTGGATCGCCCGTAAGTTGTTTCTCCATCGACGCCTGTGTCCCGTCGCGTCGCGTCGCACCCCACTGACCGCGTTGTGCCCGCCAGTGGTCGCGTACTGGACCGCGCTCCTCACCGTGGCCGCCATCTCCGCCAACAAGGGCTCGCCGCGCGTGTGGTACACGAGCGTCAAGGAGGCCAACTTTGCCCCGAGCACCGCCAAGGTCGACCTCACCGGCGCGATGGGCACCGCGGAGCACAAGGGCGCTGTTGCCAATGCGTCCCCGGCGATGCAGCAGGACTACCCGCCTGCGCCGCACCCCGTGGGCCCGCAGCACGGCTACCAGCCCACCCAGATGTAGGCGTTTTGGCTACAAGCAGTCGTGTGTCGCCTCCGAGGACTTGGTTGCCTTGTTTCGATCCGTTTCGCTTCTTTTCTTCTCTTTTCTCGTATCATCTGACCTTTTCTTCCCCTGCGATATGACCCCCTTCCCTGTAATATACGGTAAATACCCTTGTTGGGTTCTTCAACGAATACATCCTGGCGACTGTGCCCCAGTGTTGGCTCTCTCTAGCTTTTCGCATCGTGGAATGCCAGTGAGCATGGATCCGCGGACGATCCTCCGACCTGGAATGTCAAAGCCAGTAGGGTGTGGGTGGATCTCACATACTAGCATGGCACACGAGGCGATCAGACAGTAACAGTGCGAGGCGTGATGCGTTCGGGTAGCGCTGCGACCATGAGAGGCTGCTACATCATCATTTGCACGCGCTGGTGACAGCCAGGTCAGCAACGAGAGTCTGTGATGGCTTTTAAAGGAAACCCTCAGCAGAGACGAAGAGGTGTGATAAATGTCCTTAGAGCCGGATAGTAACTTACGCGGAAGCAACAGAGCAAAGCAAAGTCAGTTCATGTGCGAACGCGGCGGCCAATGGCGTGGCATGGCTACCCCCCGCCACGCACGCGGAGGCTGCAACCCTGAGCTTGGATACTATCAGCCCACCGTCGTATGTCACCCGGAGGATTCGGTTGCCACGCTTGGCCTGATTTGTTTTCTTTTGTCCGTCTTTCAAGCCTTTCTGTCTCTACGACTCGGTGATGCCTCTCTTCCGGACAATTTAGTACCTCTGTTGAGCTCAACGAATCCTGATACGAGGCAGGCGCATGGCAGTGCTGAGCACATCGCATTCAAATCGCACTACGAGGAAAGCAACACAACAGGCATGCTCTATTTGCAACAGACAGATCTACAGATTGAAAGCTCTGGACGTATACAAGAAAACCCTGGACGTATACAAGACAACAACAGAACAAGATAGTAAGTTAAAATAACGTTGGGGCAAAATTTTCGGCAGAGCTAAAGACTTAGAGATGATCTGTCCTTGGGGAGTTGGATACAGTGGGAACAGGGAGCAAAGGAGCAGTCAGCACATCTACGGTACAGTCCACACTCTACTCGGAGTCAGAGGAGCCGACCGAGGCGGGGGCGACGTCGGCATGGGGAGCCACACCCCTGACCCGCTTAAGGATGCACATCTCGACGGCGACGCTGGGGCCGAACGCGACGGCGACGACGTTCTCGCGGCCCTCGCCCATGTCGGGCTCGCGCAGGCGGTGCATGACGCTGAGGATCGTCGCGCTCGAGCTGTTGCCCCGGTTCTTGTAGATGTCCCAGCTCGCGCGGAGGTGCTCGAGCGGCAGCCCGAGGACCTTGCCCACGCTGAGCAGCACCTTGGCGCCGCCCGGGTGCACGGCCCAGTCGAAGTCGGCGGCAGCGGGCGCGACGCCGTCGGGCGCGAGCGAGGGGATGCGCGACAGGAGCGAGCCGAAGACCGGCGGCGTCCCTGCGGCGGCGATGGCGGGGACCTTCGGGGTCAGGACAGCGTTCCAGCCTGCACATATGCGTCAGAGAGACGGACGAAAGGGATGCAGGCAGCAAACTTACCGTGGGGGTGGATGTCGAAGCCAATGTCTCCGGATGTCTCGGGGACGGTCAGGTGGTCCCAGCCGAGGAGGTCGTACACGGGCTTCGCGTCGGGGCTCTCGCCGATGCCGTTGCTGAGGACCGCCGCGGAGGCGCAATCGCTGAAGATGGCGGCGCCGATGCGGAAGTTGCCAGTCTTCTGCATCAAGTCGAGCTCGGAGCGGATCAAGAGACTCGTGAGCTCGCATGCAACAATGAGGATCCGTGCGGGGCGGTTGAGGAAGGTGGCACCGAGGGCGATGTTGGCAGCGTTGCGGAGGGCGGCGAGACCACCAGCACAGCCGACACCGTGCAAGAGGGTGCGCTCGACGGTGCTCTTGAGACCGAGCTCGCGAGCGACATAGTAGTCATAGCCTGGGTTGGCCGAGTTGGTGCAGGTGACAGCGATGACGTGAGTGATCTCGGAGACATCGCCGCCCCACTCTTCGATAGCCTTGGAGGAGGCAGCGGCGGCGATCTTGACGCCCTCCTTGAGGAAGTATTCGGAGAGCTGGTCGATGGTGGGCGCCTCGGTGCTGTTGACGCTTATAGGGTCGATGAGTTCAGATATTGTGTGACGTGTGTCGATGCCCGTGCTCTCGTTGAACACGAGAAGCTTCTCAATGCTGGGGGAGTATGGATGCGTTAGCAGGGGTGGTTGGGAAACTAGCGGGTGGAGCACTAGGAAAGACGAAGAGGGACGTACATCGGGGTTCTGGGGGTGTTCTTGAGAACGAACTCCCTGAACTCCTGGACGCCGACGGCATGGTCGGGGTATTGGGAGGCGATGCCCATGATGTGGAGCCCGGTGTCGGGGAAAGAGGCCTGAGCCTGGGCTGCGAGCGTAGCGGGAGACATGGCGAGAACGGGTGGGTTGGATGTGGGGAAAAGAGCGAGTGAGCTGGGGAGTTGGTCGGTGGGGACGGTGGTATTTATGATGGTCAGCGTCGCCCCAGCCAGGATCCCCAAGCTGAGCACTTGCCTGATTTGGGTTTCCCACCGTACATTGTGTCACGGCGGGGCGTCTGTCCCGAAAGGGAGGTGAACGTGCATGACGTCTGGCTCGCTGACGCGCTCTGATGGACGCGCTCGAATCTGAGGGTGAGGACGGCGATTGGTCATTGCCATTGCGCACGGCGTCGAGACAAAGCAGTTCCATGCTCTTTGCTCGCTTCCCTCGACGTCGGGACGCGTCCTCGAGACGGCCTGTTGCGTCCCCCTGGACATGATTCGCTCGAGATCCTCGAGCTCGAGCCCCCTGTACGTGTGCAGGTGGATCGCGTACCTCGGGACTGTCGTCAAAGGTACGAGACAGGATCGAAGGGGCACTGGCCCTGCTACTCTCGTGGCGGGGACGCTCTCAAGGCGCAAACGCTCAATCACCCGCGTCAACGTGGATCGCCGCCCAAACGCTCAGCGAAGCGTCCGGCGTATGGAGATAATGCACAGTGCCCTACATGGTGGGCCTCTTGGCGTTCCCGTGCGGATAACTAGCGAGATAGATGCACGAACGGCGAGCCTCGCGCCCATTCGTGACCGCCGTATCCAGCGCACTGCCTCTTGACAGCGGCGCAGGTGGGCGACCTTGAGCCCACCGCGATACCGCACGCCGAACCGACCCGAGACTGACAGTAAATGCTGTGGAAAAAAAATGTTGCGCACGCATCCTACGTCTTGACGATGGTGATCTAGGGATAGATAGCCAACGCCAGTGATCAGAATGTTATGAGCATGAGACAGGTGCGTTGATGCGGAAGACGTACAAACCAAAACTTTACATTGAACATGCATGTTTCCCTATTAACGGATGACATGCAGCCTGCACGTCTCGGCGACCATTTTGGAAACGAGTTCTGTCGCGCTCCGATCTGCATGACATACCGTTCTGCGTCTATTTCCACAACACGTACGTGAGGGCGAAGGCACTCTGGCATGCTTCAACGCATGGAAGCCCTCTTGTCGAGCTCGTGATCATAAATCGCGTCTAATCCTGCACAAGAGTCATTGTACGCACAGGGGCCCTGAACGAGGTTGTTCCTGCACGCCCAGTACACGAGGGAAAGACGTGCACTGACGAAACCAGGGTTCATTATCTTTGCACGTCAGGTGTGGGAGGGCTCACCTCGTCGCCCACTCTACTCGCTGTCCATTGCTCACTAGTACTGGCAGGCTCCACAAAGGTAGGTGAATAAATCACGGCCACCCTGCAAGAACGTCGGATCTGTTGTTCTTGCGACGCCATGAATTCTCAAGCCAAATATTGATCGGTGAGGATGACGGCACGGGCGCCGTCGTCGGTGGTTGGTGGCAGATTGAAACAAGGTAGCTGCCGTGTGGCGTCTACAGGCGTCTGCGGGCCATCACCACATCATCTTCGCCAAAGTTGCCTTACGCGGCAGCAAGCAGCTCGCTCCTGTCCCTTCACCACGAAGCGTGGTTTCGTCATCGACCAGGTCTGCGCTGGCTGACCATGATCTAGATGCTGGAACGTGTTGCAAAAGTCGCTCAGACCCTTGGGTTCGTCCGGAGAACGCTACCCAAACTCCGTTTGCGACCACGGAGGTTCAGGTCGTGTGCTGCAGGCCTTGTAAGCCCTGATTGCAGTCTGTCACAGCAGTCTTGGAACTAGTCTAATTGCCACCAGAAGAAACCTCGCAGGTACCCCTTCTCTGCCGTCTGCACGCATCCCACTTCAGTGGAAGGACATCTGGTCGCCGAAATTTAAATTTCTACCGAGAGTCTGTCCGCCACAGGAAACAAGCGAACTCCATATCGCATGGCAGGCGGCCTCGAATGCATTCCCTTAGGCGACGACAGCAGAATTATGTCCTAACGGCCGCCCGCTTCCAAGCGGCCTGTTATCTCGGACGTGCATCGGCACCGTTGCTCTCGGTTACGTTTCAATATTTCCGCGATTCACAACAAACGCTGCTGCGATTGTCGCCAGAGATGTGAACGTTGACGAGACTCCCGCGCATTGACTCCCAGATCAAGGCCTGTCCTTCATCTCGGTCACTTCTCAAAAACCTGATCTGTACAGGACGTCAGACCGTGGCATCAACATTCTCCGCCACGGCGTTGCTGCCTCATTCCATAAAACTCCCTGGGTGCGCCTCTATCCGTGCATCCGTTCACGGTCTTTCCGGGCAGCCCACCACGAAAATGTCCCCCGCCAGAGTCCTCCCTTACGGCCGAGTCGAACCCGTCTTTCCCGACTCAAGCCTCGCTATCGTCGGCATAGGCGTCCAGTACCCTCCATACGCCTGCAAACCACAAGACCTCAAGAAGCTAGCGCTGCGACACTACCGCAGAACGCCTGCGTAAATGACCCCCCGATATCTCAACCGCCCTCGCTAATCTTCGAATCACTAGACTGCAAAAGATTCTCGCTATCAACGAGAACACCGGCATCGACACCCGGTCTGTCTCCTGCACCATCGACCACCCTCTGCTCAACAAGCCCGAGCCGCCAACGGTGGACGAGCTCTCAGACTTCTTCCTCTCTGAAGGCGTGAAGCTGGCCGTAGACGCTTCGCGGAGAGCAATAGAAGAGTGGGGCGGAGACGTCTCGGAGCTCACACACCTTGTTGCCACGACATGCACCAACTCCGCCAACCCAGGCTACGACTACTACGTCGCGCGGGACCTCGGCGTGACCGGCAGTGTCGAGCGCACCCTGCTCCACGGCGTCGGCTGCGCGGGCGGCCTGGCTGCCCTGCGGACGGCGGCCAACATCGCCCTGCTGGCGTCGTACCTCCACAGGCCCGCGCGAGTCCTCGTGGTCGCGTCTGAGCTCGTCAGCCCGCTTGCGCGGTCCGAGCTGGAGTCGCTCACGCAGAACCAGGAGCTGCGGATCGGCGTGACGCTATACAGCGACGGCGCATCGGCGCTCGTGCTGAGCAACGGCGTCGGTGATACGCACGGCGAAAAGCCGCTATACGATCTGCTGGCGTGGGACAGCCGGACGCTCCCTGATACCGAAAAGGACATCACGTTTGATGTCCATCCCAACGGTGAGCCCTCGTCCTCCCGATCACGGTGATAACCTGTTCCTAACGTCGCCTCGCTCCGCAGGCTGGAAAGTCAACCTCACCCCGCGCGTGCCCGCCCTCTCGTGTGCCGCCGTCCCGCCTCTCTTCAACTCCCTCCTCCGTCGGACACCGTCCTTCGCGCACCTGCCGTACCCCCCACTTGCACAAGACTTCGACTGGGCCCTGCACCCGAGTGGCACAAAGGTCATCTCGGGGGTGCAGAAGCTGCTCAACCTCACGCCGGACCACCTGCGCGCCAGCTATGACGTCTACAAGAACCACGGCAACACGTCGAGCGCGACTCTGTTCAGCATCCTCGATCGATTACGGCGGATGGGCGAGGGCAGGGAACATGCCGTCGCGTGTGCGTTCGGGCCCGGCGTCACCGTCGAGATGTGCATCCTTCGGAAATCCCTACATTACAACCGGGCCTGCTCATTGTCCTCGGAGTACATGGACTTCTTTTCGTAACTGAACTTTGTCTTTTTAGTTGTGTGTTTGTTTCTACCACTATTGGACTAGTCGCTATACCCATACCATTCATCTAGACATCCTCTTGTTTACTATTTTTATTGTAAGAACACATGTATGTCACCAAAAGATACGACGCATCTTTTCCGAGTTCTACTCTGCAATCAGAACAGGGTGTGCCGATGTGTCTCAACGACTCTCGGCTCCTCATACACGAGCGGGTGCCACTTGCTAGGCGTAGTTCCTGCGAGCGAACAGCTAGCTCGTCCGCAACATCGGTCTTCCCAGCTGTCCAGCCAGCTTGTTCCCCTAGACCATCGGCCTCACCGGTGTTGGCGAAACCTCGCGACGAGACTCTGAGACTCGGAGGCTTGCCGTCTCACCAAGGTCGCGCCCCGAGGCGAAAAAGCCTGCCACCAGGGAGGTTAGAGCATTGCCGATAGCACGGAAATCAGCGCAGGAGTGCGTACGTTCGCATCATCGATGTCTGCACCGAGCACTGAAGTCATCATCGTTCTGGAATGCGCATACCTCACGTCGCCACCTGGGGCTCGCTAGTACCCACCGGGCGATCCGATAGCACTTCTCGGCTGATGCTGTGGCGCACAATCTGACCGGCAGCCGAGAAACCCGAGGCAGGCCTCTGCTTCCCCCGGGCCCCGAAGGCGGAGTCATGGAAGCCAGCCGACATAAACCATGGTGTAAACGCCTTGCCAAGGGTCTGTGACCATATTAATGAATCATTCTTGCAGGGTACCAAAGTTATACAAGGGCAGCAATCAGGCCCTGCAAATACACGCTGAATTTTAGTTCGTCGAGTGGCTGATATGGCCGCTCCTGCGCCGGCGGATGATTGGAAGCGCGACAGAAGGTCGTCAGCAATATTTGTAGGGATCCGAGGCTTCTTGGCGACATGGGAATATTGCACAGAACAGAAGAATTTTGAGAATTCCTTGCGTCTCTTTATCATTATCTTAGGTTCCACGTTCATTGAGAATGTCGATGGGCTTTTTAGCACAGGCGGGCACCGCGGGTGAACGGTGATCCCGTCTGCAGCGGAGATGATTACATGCTGTAATGATTATGTCACCGGGAGCCGAGAGAGGTCAGGTTGCGTAATATCCACAAGGTGAAACGTGTTCAGCAGGGTGCGCGGGGCAGTGATAGACTCATATACGCTGGACCGCACGTCCGACTCGAATGAAAAATTCAAGCGGGTGCCTTCATTTGAGATATCTCCCCTGCCAGCTGGCCAACTCGTCGCGTTAAAAAAAAACGGCAGGCACACGGTCCAGACACATTTCCATTTTTACTGAGCGAACTGAGGCTTGAGAAGAATGGCGACATCGCAAGGACGAGTTCGGAGGCCGCACATGCAAAGATCGGCGCCAAGATGTCGATGCGCCCCACCCGCGAAAGTCCGAGATGACGAGCGTTTAAAAGTCGCACGTGCAGCGTGTTGTGCTCCGGAGTCTGCAGGCGCCCTGCCAGCTCTGAGACTCTCCGCTTCGAGCTTGCTCGACTCCAAAGCCCTCGACGGCATCAAAACTCCCGCGACGACTTGACTGCCGTGCGTTGTCTTTCCTCGCCTCCAATTTTCTCTGCAGGATTGAGCTCAAAACCGTCTTGTCGGATTGCTTTCGCTCAGTCCTCGCGATAAACATCGACTAGTGACCGTGCCCGAGCCGCGATTCGAACAAAAGCCGCCAGGTCTCGATATGGACGCTGTCTTTAGGCCGCTGGCCGAAGCCGTGGGTGCTTCGCTCGACCAAATCAAGGTGTGTTCATCCCCAGTCTCGCGGACATTGGACCACTTTGACCGTGCATACAGCTCATTAGCTGTCTATTGATCTCGTATCCACTGGGAAGCGTGTTCGTTCGCATACCCTATGACCAACCCAACTTCAAGCATATTTTTAATATCGCTGTCACACTTTTCTATCTTTTGCCCGTCCTGAACCTCTGGTTTGGTTTCTTGCAGCTGCTCGCCGACGTCATTGCGACATACTATATTGCTCTGAATGTCAAGGGTAAGAACATGCCTTGGATCGTATTTGCGTGAGTCAATATTTGCATTGTCCATTCGCGCGTCTTTAACGGAACTGTCAACTCAGTGTCACCATGGGTCATCTTACTGTCAAGTGCGTCTAACTCTATCCTGCGGTATGGGCTGCTGCTGACGTCGCTGTCAAGTCATGCCATCCGCGCGCTCTGGGACCTAAGCTACGAGACGGTTGAGGTTACCGGGCCGCAGATGGTTCTCGTCATGAAACTGACAACCTTCGCGTGGAACGTCTATGACGGCAGGCGACCGGCGGAGGTAAATACCTTCCTGGACCGACATCGGTCACTCCGGCAGGCTGTATTGACGCTGTTTGACACAGGAGCTCGACAAGTGGCAGACAGAGAAGAGAGTTGTCCAGCACCCCAGCCTGCTGACGTTCCTCGGCTACTCGTGAGATCGTTTACCCTTGGTTCCAACACGTTAATTAAACGCGGTCATTGCCCTAGGTTCTATTTCCCTGGCCTGCTGGTCGGGCCGTACTTGGAGTTCGCCGACTACATGGACCTCATTGACGGCACACGGTTCAAGCTTCTCGAGAAGGCCGATGACAAACAGTTCAAAGCCGTCTCCATTCCCGGGAGACTGGTCCCTCGAGGTCGCAAGCGCGTGGCGTATCGAAAGATGATCATGGGCCTCATCTACTTGGGTCTGTTTGTGGTTCTCGGCGGCCAGTACAATTTCGGCATTGCCGTCCAGGATTGGTTCGCCCAAAAGAGCTTGCTCTACCGGTAAGACTACGAACCATTGCCCATTCACAGGACCTTAGCTAAGCGGTCTTCCTGTAGCATTGCCATCTTCCAGGTCTGTGGAGTCGTTGAGCGCATCAAGTACTATGCCATCTGGACGCTGACGGAGGTAAGCGATCTCTCTATACAACCTGTGTCATTTATTGATTGCCATTCAGGGCGCAGCCATACTAACTGGGTTGGGTTTCACTGGCTTCGGCCCACGTGGAGAGACCCGCTGGGAGGGCGCGGCAAACGTGAAGGTTACGATGATCGAGTTTGCGCCTAACATGAAAGTTCTCCTGGACTCATGGAATATGAAAACGAACGTCTGGCTACGCGAGTGCATATACAAGCGGGTCACCCCCAAGGGCAAGAAGCCCGGCTTCAGGAGCAGCATGATCACGTTCGCCACGAGCGCTTTCTGGGTCAGTTGACAGCTCTCTTGGTGGTCTTCGGCACTCAGATTGACAAACGCTCTGCAATAGCATGGGGTTGCAGGTGGATACTATCTGTCGTTCCTGTTCGGCGGTTTTATGCAGACCGTTGGGCGGCTCTGCCGGAGCCATATCCGTCCGCTCTTCCTGCCTGCAACCTACGTGGAGGTCCGCGGGGGGCCTCCGCCTCCGCACACACCACTGAAGAGGGTTTATGACATTGTCGGAACGCTGTCCTGCATCCTGATCCTTAACTACATCGCCGCACCGTTCATGTTGCTCACGTGGCACGACTCGCTTCTCGGGTGGAGCCGTCTGGCATGGTACGGACACGGGATCATCTTTGGCGCCATGGCCTTTTTCTACGGCGGAGGCATCAAGATGCTCAAGGGCATCCAAGCTGGTAGAGTCAAGAAATCGGGCATGGCGCAGGAGCTTAAGGAGGTGCCGAGTGGCCTATCCACGGGAACGGCGACGCCGAGTATACAGACGCTTCCGCCATTGGATGCTGTCGCCAAGGAGGTCGAGAAGTCAGAGTTCATGCGCAACCTCAGCACCTGACAAAAGTTTTGCGTCAAGGGGATAATATCTAGAGACTCCGAGTCGGCCAATTTACATCACATAGTATTTAGTCCTGCCAATATCAATCTTGTCTTGGATACTCCTACTTTTCAGCCTGATATCTGAAAATGGAGTATGAGGGACGAACGACTTTTTGAGTGACTTACTTGAGCTATGAGCTCGCTCCGTGTTTGTTGGTAGTAGCGCCAGCGCTAAAACGCCACAATGTGATGCGCCCTTCCTTTTGTGACCATTGACTTGACCAACAATATCCGGCGCCTTAGCCTCACCTACAGACCATGTCTCGCCCGAACGCCGCCGACACCCTACCGCCAACTGCTCGTTCTATAGCGCTCCTGCTAGCCTCAACACCGACAGTACAAGATGCACAGCCAGGCGTCTTGCATCAGCTGCTCGAGTTTTCTCACAGATACACGGCCCAGGTGCTGTCTGATGCGCTAGTGTATGCCGAACACGCCGGGCGGTCGGGCAAGGTCGATATGGACGACATCACGCTGGCCGTGCAGTCTCGTGTCGGGTGGGAATTTGGAGGGCGGATACCCAAGGAGGTGCGTCTCTTCTTTGCTTCCTAGCAGCAAGACTCAACGAACCGCTGTCCAGTACATACTCTCTCTGGCCGCCCAAACGAACGCGGCGCCCCTCCCCTCCGTCCCCGAAGTCTTCGGCGTACGGCTGCCGCCGTCCTCTGAATGTCTGACCAACGTCGACTTCGACCTCGTACCGAACAAACCCCCTCCGGGTGTGACGTTGTATGACGAGGAGGTCGAGGAAATAGAGGAGTCCGAGGAGGAAGACGAGGAAATGGAGCCCGCAGCGATCCCGATGTCGTCTGCCGTGCAAGAGCAGCAAGCAGAGCAGGAAAAATCTAGCCCGGAGGCTGTCCCCGCGCCAGTCGGCGCATTGCAGTCGCCGTCGGACGTGGACATGACGACCCCGGTTGTTGCTGCACAAGAGGAGGCGAGCGAGGGCGAAGAAGCGGGAGGGCTGTTCTCCGGTGGCGAAGAGGAAGAAGAAGAGAGCGGTGACGAAGCCATGGACATCTCTGCTCCTGCAGAGGAGGATACTGCTTCGGCAGGCGTGAAACGCAAATTGGTTGAAGAGGAAGATTATGATTGAGTAGCAACGGCAGTATTCAGCTAGTCCTATGTGTAGCTTATTGTAACTCTCTAATCTCGATACCATTGCACCAGTATCTATCCACAACGTGTTCATGCTCATCGCTTCAAGTGGAACATCCATAAGTAGATGTAGATCCTAGTTCAGTACGCCGCAAGATGCATCTGCTGTGCTATAACGGCAAAGATGATTACGAGGAGCGTGACGACGACAATTATCCAGGAACTCCACGCTGTTAAAGTATCAAAACGTGTCGCTGCGCTTTAAAAGAAAGAGTACCCACATGCTGCAGTGAGATTGTCGGGAACGGAGACAAGGCGAATAGTGTTGTCAGCACTTCCCGACACCAGCAAATCAGATGTTATGTTGAAGCGGACGACGGTCGGCGGAAGTTCATGCGCTTTCAATATAGTCGACAGAGGCTATTCATGAGGGATAATGAGCCAAGCAAGATATGTGACAGTAGAGAGTGCATAAGACTCACGGCGAGGGTTTGGGTGTCTAATATGCCGAGTGTGTGGTCTCCTGTACCATAGGCCACAAACTTGCCGTTTGCGCTGAAAATGCTGTTAGCATTGCATCGAATAGTTAGACAATGATCTTACCTGACATCGAAACATGTCAGTCCTTTATCACTGACCTGCCGTTTATTTGTGACCTTCCATTTGTTCGTGTCCCACTTGCATATGAACGCTCTCCGGGGTGAGTTCTTTGTCCTTGTTCGCGGAGGTACGGTGTTAATAACTGTGTACAGGATGTTCGGATTCTGAGGATGAAATCTGGCAGCACGGAAGCTGCTGCCCGCGTCCTTTCCGGGTAAGTTGGGGCGGTCGACCTGTTGCACGAGTTCCAGCGCCGATGCCCTCTGTTTACCAGCGGCCTTTTCGCTTGTGCTGGCGGGACTGGGAGCAGGTAGCGCATACACCAGAAGGTTTACCGTAGTAACAAGGACAAGCTACACAAAGAGTCGGTGACAAAGCGGGACATGTTTGAGTAAAATCACGTACATGAGTGGGAGAGAACGCAGCGTCGTAAATTTCTCCTTTCTCCAGATGCACAGGATCTGCTACGGGTTCTAGAGACGGGAATTGTAGGAGAGCCAGCTGTATATATAAATGGTGAAAGTGAGTCTTCATTCGACGACCGCCGTTTGTCCGTTACCCACATCGTGTTTGCCTGCGACAGCTACTAATGATCCATCCGGAGATAGGACCGTGACTTTCTAGGCGTCCGTCTTTAGCAACACTATCACAGCGCACAGCGCAGTCAACGTACTTGATAGTCGTCGTCCTCTGTATTTACGGCGAGAGTGTTTGCGCTTGTCTCGAACGCTAGCCTACGCCGACGGTTAGACGGACGACGAGTAACGAGTATTGTCGTGACATACTTGTTGTCTTCCAACGCATACCGCCTGCAGTTCTGGTTGGATGTAATCTTCAAAGCTTCTTCGGAACTATTAATGCCACAGACGACACGCTTGGTCTCTGGCCACGCCGCCATGCTCATGGGCAAGTCTTCGCCTTTGTCGAGCTCGAGCTCATCGAGCTGCTCGAGAGATTTGTGGGCTATGGCCTTGTATAGCCTCTGCGCACATATACAGTGGTAAGCTACGACCCTCTGAAGCTTCCAAGGAACTGACCAGCTTGTTCTTGACCCCGGTGCGGGACTGTCCTCCACCGCCTCCAAGAACCAGCTCATCGCTTGAGAGAAAGGCACAGGAGTACACAGGAAAACTAGACAGCTGATGTAGCGTGTGACAAACCCGCATAGTCAGCAAAGACGCATCAAGTTGGCAGGAGTGAAGAGCTTTCGACTGAGACAGCGCGGGCTCGGACGTGGCGGGGTACGCGGCGGGATAATCGAGTCGGGGCCACGTGGGTGAAGCGTGGGAAAGCTTGACGTCGTGCTTGCGGCACGAAGAACGCGGGTCAGACACTGGAGCGCAGTGTGTTGCCTGGGACGTCTTGACTCTGGTCTCGACAACGATCACCTCGCCCATGCCGACCACACTCGAAGGCGGTTGGCGGTGGCCTGCTCCCGTCGGAGGTAAAGACGATGTCTTTGGCTTACCCCACTTCGACCCTGCCACAATTGCTGGAATCTCTGTGGCCATCGCCGGAAACGTTCTTATATCCTTTGCTCTCAACTGCCAGAAGCTCGCGCATAGAAGATTAGAACTTAAACGCGAGCAAGAAGACGATATCGGCGATCACAAGAGTACGACCAAGTGGTCCTCAAACGGTACAAACATCTCGAGCGTCACGATTGAAGAAGACGAGGACGAGCAGCTATCTCATCCAGATGGCCCGGCATCCCTTACAGCCACGGTTGACGAATCAGAGCCGCTGTTGCCTCATACGCAGAGCTCTCCTACTTACGGCGCAGAGTTCGCTCATACTGCCGGAAAGTCGCGGTGGTTCTCCCGAATTGCACCTTGGAGAAGGGATGCCCGGGACAACGTGCAGTCAGAGGCCACCACTGTTCCAGTGGACGTAGTCGCGGTGCGACCGAAGAGTCCTCAGAGAGAGGACTCTGGGCGCGAGAATGGGTCCGCGCATACTAACGAAAGTGATTACTTGAAGTCGAAATTATGGTGCGCCTGCCGTCCAGTCAACGTTGCTGTTGCGTGTATATCCATCATAGAATGCACCCAATACAGGTGGACAGGTTTTGTTCTCATGAACATAGGCGAGGTGGGCAACTTCATCTCGTACGGTTTCGCACCAGCGTCCACAGTTGCGCCCTTGGGGACCGTAAGTCTACCAGACAGCTTGTACCAAATGAACTTATTGAGAGATGGTCATGCTCGTGTTAGTTTGCCCTCGTTGCCAACTGCATATTTGCGCCATTCATGCTGAGAGAGCGTTTTCGTAAGGTCTGTTTTGTGCCATCGTGTTTAATTACGTAGAACGCTGAAACGTCGCGAAGCGAGACGTCCTCGGTGTCCTGATAGCCGTCGTCGGGGCAGTTACTGTGGTACTCTCCGCAAATCCTTCAGACGCCAAACTCGATCCCTCTGCTCTCCTGCATGCGCTAGCCCAAAAGCCATTCATCGTTTTTTCGGCGATCTACGTCACTGCAGCTGTGATTCTATCTGGCTTGTCAGAACGACAAGCTGGTCAGAGATACGTCTTCGTTGACGTCGGCTTGTGTGCACTGTTTGGTGAGCACTGTTCGCTCGCCTGTCAGGATCTACTAAACGACGAGGTGCAGGCGGATTTACCGTATTGTCTACGAAAGCTTTTTCGAGCCTTCTTACGCGGGAAGGTTTCGATGTTTTCGCACAGTGGATAACTTACCCCATTCTGGTGGTCAGTGCTATCTCGTCCGCTTGATCTCTGTCTGGCCATCAATCTAACTCTTGGACAGATTCTCATAGGTACAGGTGTTGGTCAGATCAAATATTTAAATCGTGCTCTCATGCGGTTTGATAGCAAGGTGTGCTTCAGATATATCTTAGAATTACAACAGCGTGTTGACGGTACTACCACGCAGATTGTAGTCCCTGCGCAGTTTGTCACATTCAATCTCTCTGCAATTGTTGGTTCCGCAATTCTCTACCAAGACTTCCAAAGAGCCTCGTTCCACCAGATCGTCACCTTCCTGTACGGCTGTGGAGCTACATTCGTTGGAGTATTCATCATTGCATGGGCCCATGACGAACCAGACGCTGGGCATGATGAGGCGACATCCGAAAACGAAGACGTCGAGGCAATGATAGTTGACGGCAATTCTGACGTTCCTCCTCTGGACTTTGGGGCTCTCAGTCGACGAGACCGTCCTACCCTCGTCCTGCCGGAGAATGCTTTGGAGAGCGTGGCGAGCTCGCCCGTTCTGCGACATAGGCGCAGCGTCGTTAGCATGATTGGATTTTCCCCTGCGCAGGTGAGCAACGTGCGATTCCTCTATCCTAAGGTCGACTTCAAACACCACATACAGCGCCTCCTCCTTGTGCATAGCTCTCCAAGAGAAGAAAGGAGCCCCATCCTTCATAACCCTGACTCAGACGCTTCCCTGAACAGCGCACATCGAAGACGGACGATGAGCTTGGCTGGCGAAGCTAGCAGCCCTTCTCGTCACCGTGACAGGCCCAGGGCCAAGTCGACAGCAACCAGCCGAGAGGCGAGTCGCGACCAATCGAGGCTTCGTGTGGCGCAGAGTCCTAGCTAAAACCATGATTATTCTTACTGTACTGACTATGTCCCCCGTTGCTATTGTAGCGTATGTTATGGCCGAGGATACCTTGTAGCTTTATTTATACCTCACTACCATGCCTCCCGTCACCTCTAGACCAACGCGAACACGTATCCAAAATCCGTCATAAGAGCCTACAATAGCGGGGACCCGCCCCAGCTGCTGTGCAGGAGCAGACCTCGTGCCTGCTTACACGTTGTGCGCGGCAGCATTGTGTCCCATTACCTCATGTCCGTCTTTTACGATTCTGCGCCTATATGAGAGTACACAGCATCCGGCGTTGAACACTCTTTGTTCAGCCCACACGAGCTATTCCCATTCAACGCATATTAACGACTAGCACCATCTTTTCACCATAGCGTCCTCACGCCGAACGTCTATGTTCAACGGGTTTCATCCCCCTCAGCCACCAAGCGATGCCGAACTCGCCACTCAGACATTGAACGAGGAGTCCAGCTACCGCTTCCACTCCTTCAGCGCGAATGACGCGGTCACCCTTGGCCTTTCCATCCGGAAACGGTTCCGCGCGTCGAGCAGGCATGCAAAGGGTAAGGGACTCGTCGTCTCCATCCAGAGCATTGCGGGGCACCCGCTGTTCTCATGCACAGTCGGTGACCTCGGGGGACTTTCCGGAATTGGAGATGTCAGTTTGGATAGCTGGGCGTGTCTCGAGGTGTGTGAACAGACTAATGACGCCGGGGTGCACGCTGGATATCGAATGCCGATGTGGCGGTAGGGGATGATTGAGGTTGTGAAGCGGACCGGACACTCGAGCTACTACGTAGAGAAAGGGATGGCGGCCATGGGAAAAACCCCGGCGCAAATGGGCATCAAAGCCGACCATCTATGTGGTGGTGGTATGTTCTTGTTAGACATGACGCAGAGCAGGCTAATTGCGCGTTTCGTTTCTCCACTAGCATTTCCAATATGGCTAGAGGCAGGTCTCAACCTGTAGTTTGTCATACGCGGAGCCTGACGACTTACACACAGAATGCTCCCTGTTGTCCCATCGCAATTGCAGCATGTTACTCTGGGTCAAGCGTGGATGATCACCATGTGGGCTTTTCGCACATACGTCTAGGGTCACTAACCTGTCCTACAGTTGGTCTTGACGACAATTAGAGACTACCTCAAGAAGATGGCACGGAATGACGAATCAGAAATGACGCATCAACGACCACCTTCCGAAATCCCTACAATACACTCGACAAGATCTCCACCTAGAGAACGAGACAGCATGGTAGGTCATCACGCTGTTCAAACATAATTTTTCTGGAACTGAATTCCACAAGAAGTGGATACCCGAGCCAGCTGCAAGCTCTTTGATGCGTGACGGCGGTGATTATAGGAGCGAGTATCGAGACAGCTATCACGACGAGGACTAGTAGGACTCTACGCGTCGGATTCAACGTCCTTTCGGAACTAGGATCTATTGCGAATTAAGGCGGCAGTAATCACCATAAAATACCACTAGTGAGAAGAGCGGACAAGATAGGTTACGAAGACTCGGAGCCGTACGAAGACTCAGAGCTGTACGAAGATTCGGAGCTGCTAGTCCGCTTGAGCACACGTATCATCTCTGCGCGGAGGGCTGAGTTCTGTGCATTCTGAGCTTGGCGAAGAGCTCACCATGACGGAGAAGAATCTGTCGCTGTGCAGCGGGCGAATCGGACCCAGCAGCGGGATCGGCTTCCCTCAGCTCGAAGTTGGCCTCGACATACACCTGCCAACCCTTCTGGAGGGTACGGAGGTACGCATTAGCACCCGGGTTGAAAGAGAGGATGGTGTGCCACGTGGTAGAGTTTTCGGAGCGAGCTAAACAGAAAACTCAGTATCTGCATATAGGAGATATGACCTTGCGCACTGCCGTCAGGGTTGGGTGGGGGTGGAGGGTAGTTGGAGGTCGCAACAGTATATCTGCAAGATTTCTACGTCTAGTGCCGAACTAGGATAGAACGAGAAGCCCGACATACGAGACATATTCCTTGTCTAACCGCGTCGTCCGCACTTCCGGGTTCTTGCCCAGGCGACCGATCAGGACGAGTTTAGCAAGGTCACCCTGAAGCCTAGGAGTTGTAGAAAATGCCTGATGGTCGATGTCAGCGTGTAGGCTTTCAGCCGTGCATTATGACAGCTCACCCGAGCGAACGAGCCAGAGGCAGCAGTACGACGTGCAGCAGCGAACATAGTTTTTTTTTTGGATGAGAGAGAGAACGAACACGGCCGGTTTGGCGCGTCCACGCTTTCGGCCATGTCGTCACATCACGCTGTCACGCCCCGCTTCGGGCCATCCCCCTTCGCATCTCCCGACCACGCTTACTCCAAGAAACAAATCCCCACTCACCATTGTTCGTACAGCATGTCCAGACACAGGCTCGTGAGAAACATGAACCTCGCAGGCGTGTATATCGCTACACTGCACTGAGCTAAGCTTATCGTGCAACAGAGGAGCTGGACGATGACGCGATCTCGGATGGAGGCGATCAAGATCTCCCGCCCGAGGAGTATGGTGAATGGCCAGTCTCACTATCTGCACTAGTACTCACTTTCCTCTTTAGAGAAACTCATGAACGGACTGGAGGGTGTCCGTGCTACACTAGGACCCGCCGAGCAGTCTGGCTTCGCCGACGAGTTCATCAAAGACACCCTGTATCATTTCTACTATGATGTAGCTCAGACGGTGGACTATCTACTGGGTGAGTGACCTACATCGTCTTTTAGGAGTAGTCTGATTCTGGCACTTAGAGGAACAGGGACGCCGACAGGCAGCTCAAGAACGGAAAGGTGAGCTCGGACTTCACTTTCTTCTACTCTACCTTTTGTACCCTTCCCCCGTGTGCACCACTCTCCCTGTTCGTCACCCTATGGCTTGCTATCGGTAAGGATGCTTGAAGGTGCCCGTCTGCAATTCCCCCGGTTACCGCGAATGATATGTTCATGGACTTCGAACAGTGGACAAACCGCTACCAGCTCTGCCCGGACAGATAGCTCTGGAAGAAGCTCCACCAGGCGGTCATGTTGTACCGCTACCCACAAGCCCCCCGACTGACCGACCGTACATCTACCGCCTAGCAGAAGGAGGGGAAGAAGAAGAAGAGGATTTCTTCTATGATGAGCGGTCGAGCGACCTGGTTATCGACCGTTTCCAGCCGGCCTTGTCAGACATCACCGAGCAGACGGAGCCTTCGGAGGAAGCGAGCATGCGGAAACGCAATTCTGACATTCGTCGGTCGCGCCAGTCGTTGGTTAGAACTTCATCGCAAGCTTCTACAGTTGACTATGGCCGGGTCCTTGGTCAGTCAAGATCTTTCTTACGCTTGTATCCTCTGACGGTTACCTAGAACGGCAGATTCTGCGCGTTCCCCCGCCCCCGCAAGTCAGGCCCTCGCCCTCTGACACGGCTCTCCGTCGTTTGGAACATTCTGAACCTCCTCCGACCGCTTCTCCTAGCGGTTCACGAACCCCTCCTCACGAAGCAATAGCCAACCTACTTAAACCTGTATCGGAGATTTCGGTGGCTCCCCCAACAATTCCGTCAAAATCTTCGCTGGCGGATTTGGCGCGGAACGCACGCTCCCAGCAGTCAGCGTCGCCTTCATCGCTACGATCGCACGGCCGTCGGGAAGAGCTTGCGAAGGACGGTGGCGAGCCGAAGAAACCCAAGTCTAAACTGTCGGCTCTCGCGAGCTCTAGAGCGAGCCAATCCAACAGAAGCTCTGCCAGTTACACTGACACCGACTCGGTCGATTCCGGGTCGCTCGTGACCTACCCGGCATTGAGACCGTCTGCAATGTCGTATGCATCACTTAAATCGGCTGCACCGACTACGCGGGCTATGTCTGTAGTCTCTACGACATCCCAGGGATCCACTGGCACATCAGGAACCGGAGAGAGCACCATACTTTCGAGGACTGTACAGGCTGCTATCAACCATGCCATTGCCCAAGAAACCCCTTCTTTACCACCTAGCCCTCCACCGAAGTCTCCCATAAACATCATTACAGGTCCAGCCACCGCTCTAGCAGCTTCTACAGGCTATCACCCCCTTGACGATATTTCGAAGGACTTCCATGCTCCTGATCTTGCGTTGACTCCTCCTATTCCAACATCTCCAACTCCGGCTGCTACATCTCCCGTCGCTGCTAGTCCTGAAACGAAATACCGCCCGGCATCCAAGCTCGCTCAACTTGCACAGGCGAAAGTAGCCCAGCAGAGCCTATCAATGTCCAAAGCCAGGCAGATGCAAATTGAGTCCTCCGGACTCATGATGCCGAAGTCTCGCACGGAATACGTTACTCCGATTGTCAATGGACCTACAGCCACCACCGCTATCACGACCACGTACCAGTCGTTAGGAAGCCTTGCGCAGCCCGGACGTCCAAAGCCATCATCGCGAGGATTGGAAATATCTGCCGCGAAGACTTCTGAGTCTAAGCAATCTAAGCTTGCTATGAGGAGCAAACGACTTCACAAGCATGCTGAGCCAGAGAGCGAGTCTGAGCCTGCTTTGGCCCCCTTGGAGATGCCTATGTTTACTTCAGAGCCCACCAGGTCGCGTGCACCTCCATCAGCATTCGCCTCGATACTCACTGATGAGGAGTCCCTCCCGCCGCGTAGAAGAGATGTGGACACCGGGTCCAAGCATAGGGAAAGTATTCTTACACGGGAACATCGGGCCATTGTCGAGAAACCCCGACGCAAAACTCACAAACGAGCCGATATCCCACCTCCGGTCTCCGCATCGTCCTCCCAGAGCTTCGCTTTCGATATCCCTAGCCCAGACGATGTCGTCTTCAACGCTCGCCGCGGCACCTCTCTGGCTCCACGGTCCATGTCCACTTCTACGCATCCAGCACCATCGACAGTATCGAATGCTTCCCGCGTATCTTCTTCCACTGCCCCTCTACCTATTAGAGCTTCTTTTCCGCAGGCATGAGCATGTACTGACCACTCCGTATTATGACAAATATATTTAGCTGCTAAGGAACGTGAAAAGGCCGAAAAGGCTCAGAAGCTCGCCCAGCAGAAGAAAGCGGCGGAAACAACTTCGAGGCTGCCAGCTGCAGCGTTGACACCGAAGAAAGGGTCCACGAGCGGCAGCAAGAAGCCAGAAACGTCGACACCACTCCGTGGCAAGGATGTGCAGGCGTTGGACTTATCCGCTTTGAACCTCAGGGAGGCGGAAGAGACGGTGCAGGTGGAGGAACCACCGCCGAAGATGACCATCGCACGTGAGAAGGTCTTAGAAGAGGCAAGACAGGCGTTGCAAGGGAAGGACGATAAGCGGGCTGTCAATCTCGTTGTTATCGGTGTGTTCTGTCGAGACCCTATCTGTGTTCGCGTCTTATATGTCCTTAGGTCACGTCGACGCCGGTAAGTCCACGCTCATGGGCAGGCTACTCTACGAACTGGGGAAGATGGACGAGAAGAAGCGCATAGCAAATGAAAGAGCCAGCGGCAAAATCGGCAAGAGCAGCTTCAGCTGGGCCTGGGAATTCGACGGAACGAGTGAAGAGAGGGAGCGGTAAGATCTTTCAATCACGCGATGGGACCTCACTTACTGACGGCCGCCCCAATAGTGGTATTACCATGGACGTAGCATTGCAAACCATGAACACGCCGCATCGCCAAATCACCATCCTCGATGCTCCAGGGCATAAGGACTTCATTCCGAATATGATTTCCGGTGCTTCGCAAGCGGACTGTGCCCTGCTAGTTGTTGACGCGGCTACAGGCGAGTTCGAGGCAGGCTTCGAAAGGGGCGGCCAAACTCGCGAGCACTTGCTGCTCGTTCGTAGCTTGGGCGTCGGGCAAGTTGTCGTCGCGGTGAACAAGCTCGACCAGGTGGAGTGGTCGCAGGCCCGCTACGAAGAGATTTGTGGTCTACTTCGTCCGTTCCTGGTTCAGTCAGGCTTCCAGCCCTCGAATACTCGTTTCGTCCCTGTCGGTGCAATGGCCGGCGTGAACCTCGTACACCGCAAGGGCCCCGATGCAGAGCCACTCAACGTTTGGTACCATGGTCCTACCCTGGTAGACTACCTAGGTATGCTTGCTTATTCTGTGCTTCTCTACTTCGTTAAAAATCTCTTGCAGACGAGCTAGAGCCTCCTACACGCGATATCGCAGCCCCTCTGCGCTTCCCTATCTCGAACGTTTTCAAGGGACAAGCTTCGGGTACCGCAGTGGTGGGTCGCGTATGCAGTGGTATCGTCCAGGTTGGAGAGCGTTTGCGTGTCTTACCTGGTGATGAAACGGCCGTCGTTAGGAGTAAGTTCCTCCGTCAGTCGTCCACTTGACATCCTCACCTTCGTGTAACAGTGATTGAGTCGGAAGGCGAGAGTCTCCCATGGGCTGCTGCCGGTTCGAATGTTACACTATATCTGACCTCTATCGACCCGGTACACCTCAACATCGGTAGCGTGTTATGTCCACCGTCGGCCGTCATCCCACTAGCTCACAGCTTTACGGCGCGGATCATCGTGTTCGACATTCAAGTGCCTATCATCACTGGCGCATCTGTGAGTGTAGATGCTCTCGTATCTGAGACCCACTAATTTGACAATTCCGTAGATTGAGCTTTTCCACCACTCAAGAGATGTTCCAGCAAGCATCAACAAGCTGATAGCAATTATTGACCGCGCCGCTGGCACCATAATAAAGACCAACCCAAGGGTCCTCACGAAAAGCGCGTCGGCAGAAGTTCAGATCACGCTTCGCAGCCCTACATACTCAGGGCCTGCCACCGTTGTCCAACCTATACCTTTGGAGCCATTCTCGGTCAACAAGGAGATGGGTAGAGTCTTGATTCGGCGTGGTGGGGAGACGATTGCAGCCGGTAAGTTCTTTGTACTCTGCCATCTGCATTAGCTCACTAGACATCTTCGTAAGGTGTGGTCATAGATATCGTCTCGTCTTGATCTAAAAACGACCGTCGTGAATGTGAAGACAGAGGAAGTCGTAGTAACGAATTAGATGATTGTACCCTAGTTAAGCAAATGTATAAGTAGCAAATAAATTAGGATGAGTGCCAGTCTGCCACGGCTGCCGCAGCCTCAGCGAGATCGAGCTTTCCCTGCTTCATCTTCAAGAGCTGCTGGGGGTCCAGCGGTTTTCTGGCGACCTTCTTGTCTGCTTTCCCTCTGGGACGCGAGCCTCCGCCGACGCCGCCCTGATACTTCTTTCCAGTGGCCTTATGAGCGAGAATCTTGATCTCAGCGAACTCGGAGGTGGTTTGAGCGCGTAACCACGCAGCGTTGTTGGCCCGATGCGCTAGATAGTTCGGCTTATTGTATCCCTGCGGGACGCCGTACGGAGAAGGTTCCTCAACCATTGGAGACCCATCAGGGTTCAAAGAACCACCGTGGGTCTTGTCGAGGACTTGAACTACGTCCAGACTTTCTCCAGGAGCAATCGGCACAGGATGGGACGGTGTAACACAGGGCATGTCGACCTCTTTCCGCAGAACTTTGTCTATGTCTACTGCGGAGAAGAAGCCGACTCCCTGCGGAAGGTCATCCAGACCCAGCCTCAAGGCGAAGAGACACCGGGTCCAAAGGTTGGCAATCTGCAGCGCAAGAGCAGCGCGATACTTGTCCTCCTCCTTGACGAGGTACCGAAGTTCGTCGTGGACGGAGATGAGATAGCGGGCCTTGATGTCATACTTCTTCATCAGGTACTCCATCGATACGATGAGAAGATGCAGATAGTCGACGCCAGACGACTGAACGACCCAATTGATTCGCGAGGTCATGTAGTCAGAGCCGAACTCGGCGGGCAAGTACTCCTTGGACAAGGCGTATGTAATGCCACAGCCGAGAGCGGGGGTTTGGGGCTTGTCCGAAAGAGCAATCTCTTCGAGTTTGTTGAACACGAAACTCTCTGTGCCCCCAAACCAAAACTTGCGACCGAATATATCCGCACGATGCGTGTTCTTACCCTTCGTCGAAGCGTACAGGTTCTCTGCAAGTTTCTGAGCCTCTTCAGGGAGCATGCTGGGGTTGGCTTGAAGGAGAAGGAGGACCGCGTGGCGCATACCCGCACCGTAGATGCGTGAGTAATTGAAGACTTTGGCCTGGTCGCGGGAAATGCCTAGGATGCTCGCCGTCTTGGAGTGAAGATCCGTCCCTGCTGCTTTCGTGCCTTCGAGTGTCATCCATCCGATGGCGGTGGCACCATGCAAACCGAACTGGGCATCTCCCATGACACTGGAGATCCACAACTCCTCGGAGTCCACGTCCGCTCCTACGATGGCGTAACCCTCGGGAGCACGTACCATAGCCTTCAACTCGGAGCCAACACGGTTCTTTTTCGCGTTACTAGCTGTAAGCCACGTCTTCTCGATTGCCCGGCGAGTGACGGTACCCATCGTGATGACCTGCGGGATGATGATGCCCCACTTCTCGTTTGGCCCGGGCGTGAAGCCCATCTTATGCTCGTCGTCTTGCCACACGACCATTTGCTTCAGTACACGGTCCCTGGCACTGATCCAATAGCTGCACTGTGCATTCAAGTCCAACGCGTCCTTCGCTTCGTCCCCCGGACTCGTCAAGATGCCGTCTTGAGCGTACTTCATGAAGGTCTTGCTGAGCGGGCTGCCAACATTGGCCTTCTCTCCGTCCTTGTGCGGTAACTTGTAAAATGTGTAGCCGTCGCGGAGGACAGACTCCTGAAGCATATCGTCTGCAGCATCGTAGAATGAAAGAGGGGCCGCGCGGGTCTGGAAGCTTGCGCCAGGATCAACACGGAACGTCCATCCATGCTCGCGAGAGTGGAAGAGCGGCCAGCCCTGCCAAGACAGACGGAGGAGGATAGGCGCGATGCGGTTGCGGACAGTGACATCGAGTGTACCCGGAGAACAGTCCTTCTTGGGTCTCGCTAGATCCCAGTACCACTTCGGCCAATGCACGGCAAGCGCTTTAGGCGTCGGAGACTTCTTCGGCGCTTTAATAGGCGCGGTGTTAGCGGTGGCGACAGGAGCTTTTGAGGGAGTCCAGTCGAGGTTCATGAGCCAAAGGTCCTTCTTCGCCACTTCAGGATCTAGTTTTGACGTTGCCTCGGCAAGGGAAACAATGCGGTCCACAGCTGCAGCGTCCTTACTCCTGGAGCATAGTGCCAAGGCTAAGTCGTCATTGCACGAAGACAGCCTCTTGTCCTTCAGCAAACGCAACCCGTGGGTAGGACCGAGGACGCTGACGACCTTTGCCCTGGCGGTGGGTAGACGAGTGGCTTCACCGTTTACCAAGCAGTGCCATCCGTACTTAACGCCATAAACCAGTGGATGACCATCCAGAGAGAGCTTGAGGAGACATGGCAGTATACGATTTACGATGGAGGGTTCGCGAGGCCCCAGAGACAAGAGCTGCGCATACCAAGCGGGCACTGCGCGCGAGCTGATCTTCGAAGATTGCTGCTTAGGCTCTTGTGATGACGAGTCCTGCCCCTATTGCGAAGATCAATACTAGCGCATCGACGAAAGACGCAACACTTACCGTTGGCACGCCGATCCCTCTAGACTTGCCAGCTATCTTCGGTGTCCAGTCCAGCTGGTTGAGCCAGACATCTTCCTTCCACTTCTCACTATCCACCAGATCCTTTGCCTGGTACGCCAGCTCGACGAGTCGACTCTTGACCTTATCCTCCAGTTCTCTGTAAGTCCGTTCAGCCTCCTCAATGTAACGCTCCCATTCCTGATTGACGGTTAAGAGCGCTGATCCCATCGTCAAGATACCTGCGAAGGAAACAGGACTCGGGCAAGATGTAAGAAAGGCGGGGAGGACTTTGCAGTACACGGCATGAGTGACGAAGACGTCCGATGAACAGTAGTGGAGGTAGTCCTGGATCCCGTCAAGGATGTCCTCTCGGGTTCGACTGCCGAAGTCGTCTCGAATCGTCTTGTCGACTTCGATATTGCAGTGCAATTTAGCTACATCTGCTAACGAGTTCGCAGAGGTGATGTCCTCCCACCGCTTGGATGAAAGCTCTGCTTCGCCTTCTTCGCTAGTCATGAGCTGCGGAAGAGTCTCTTCCATCTCTTGTTTGAGACGGCGGAGCTCCTCCTTCCTAGCTGTGTCTTGCTCCTCCCGCTGTTGCTGCTCGGTCTCCTCCAACAGCTTTAGGACAGCATCAACGGCTTCTTCTTTCTGGGCGATCTCTTTCTCTTTATTCTTACGGTATTTCATCCAAGCCGGACGTTGGTGGGAGGAGATGCCCTTAACGGCGACGTGAAGAGCCATGGTGTCCAAGAAGCGATTCTGTGTACCGTCCGTGCTATACTCCTCGAGGATACGAGCGCGATCATAGGAGACGTTGTGACCAACTACGACTCGAGGAAGGGATGGGCTGCCCAGAGGAATCAAGTGCTTTGGATCTGACGTCTCGCCGAGTAGCCAAGGCGAGATCCAAGCATACCATGCATTCTTCGACGCCGCGCAGGCCATAATGGCGTACGGGCTATACTCCGGCATGGTCTCAACATCAAAGACGAGCATCTGCTCAGGCTTTCCGTTATCATGTTCAGGATACGGTACATGTTCGTGGTAGCTGGAGCCGTCGGAACGATGGACGTATTTCGTCCACCCTGACTCAACAAGCCATTCGTCCGGTTTTGGTGGAAGCTGCAACGAGGCGAGGTCCTGTGCGAGAGCGAGCCACGGCTGCGCTGCGACTGAACCAATACGATAGAAGTGCTCGTCCAAGGTGCGTCCTTGTAGGGTGGGTAGCGTAAAGCCAATATCCGGCAGAACCGACCCCTGGCTAGGATCGAGTCCGTGCATCTTGAGATGTTCACGGGCAATGCGAACGAATGCCTCGTTAGGCGGTGGGAAGGAGACATTGCGAAAGATCTGCTGATGAAGCCTCTTAGACAGAAGCTGTACTCCCACTTCGTTCCGCTTAGCTATAGGAGTATTATGAATGTCTACGCTGTTACGAACGAGGAAAGGCTTACCGTGACGGGACTCCTCGGATTTTCTCGACTGCGCGACACGCTCCGACTGTATCTGTCCTTCCACCTGTTTCTTTGCCGCTGTTGGTGTCCTCTTCGACGACACAGATGCAGGCAGAAGCTTCTGCTGCTGGACCAGGTTGGTGCGGCTCGTGTGAAGAAGTCGTGAAGAGCCAGATAGGTTGGAGATTTTAGCGAGCATGTACGCTCTGACATCCGAGCACGTTTGTCTAAGACGTGTATAGGATCTCCAAGCCGCGAGAGTTCCGCCTCGAGGAGAGCAGGATGGAGGTAACTGGCCAGCCGCGAAATATTTCGGCGCGCTTTGCAAAAGCGGGAGCAATTTCCCATTACATCCTCTAGACGCTTGTGGCGCCCCGCGCTGCGCGTCTCTTTCGGCCTCTTTGCCACAACGTCTCCCCGGCCCAAACTTGGCAGAACGATACCTCCACTCTCAACAGTCGCAGACCAAGATGTCTGTACACTACCGAAGCATAATCAGCGAGACGGATCCGCTCTATCAACCTGTCTCCCAAGACGAATCGCATGAGCCCGCTGACCTGCAGCTGGGGCAAGAGGACGAGGTCTTGGCCGAGGAGTTTATCGCCCAAGAGCATGCAGTCACCCACGATCACCGAATAGGCTGGATACACTTCATTCTGGGCTGCGCAGTTCTCCTGCCGTGGAATGGTGTGTGCATACGCACCTCCTCAGCCTTCATATCTGACTTGATTCGTGAATCATAGTCTTAATTACAGCTTCGCCGTACTTCCTTTCGAGAGTCGCCGGCTCGTCTCTGAAGGATACATTCAGCTCGTATCTGTCAACAACATTTACCGTTGCCAACTTCGCCTTTCTTGCTCACGCTACTGCGACAGAAAGGCAGGTGTGTATCTCACCCTCCTTTGACTACTCTGAGCTTAGCGTAAACCATTAGTCCACCAACTCAAGAAGAGCGCTGCTATCGATAGCTGCATTGACCATCCTCACCTTCATGCTCATTCTAAGCACTTACTTTCACCCTTCAGCTAGAGCGTTCTTCGCTTTTGCAATGCTCAACGCAATCGCTCAAGCTGCCGCAGGGTCTTACCTGCAGACGTCTATCATTGCAGTCGCTTCTCTATTTGGGCCTACTGCCCTACAGGCTCTCATGTCTGGACAGGCGGCCATCGCAGTCGCGGTTAGCGGGGTTGAAGTTGTCAGTGCCGCGATATCACTGCACAATCCGCCAGCTCCAGGAATAGTTGTGGAGTCGGAACCGGAGGAAAACTCCGCCTTCTTCTTCTTCGCCTTCTCTACACTGTTCTACCTGGTCAGCGCATGGGCCCATATACAACTTACTCGCCTTCCCGCATATCATGATCTCATGGGCCGCTTTAGTCAGGCTTCACACCAGACCACCGCTTCTGAGTCGACTCGTGAAGAGAAGAAAAGCCAGATTGTCCGGACTTTCAAAGCTAACATGATCTTTAACTTTTCCGTCGCATACGTGTTCATCACCACACTGGTGCGCAATACGTATGTTATCCCAAGCATTCCGATTCTAACTAGTTCACAGTCAGTGTTTCCGCCCATCACAATCTCTGTGCAGTCGACGAACTCTGAGATGCATCCACTACTCTTCATCGCCGTCCACTTCTTCGTCTTCAACGTCGGAGACTTCTTCGGTCGTTACATCTGCCAATTCGAACGTGTCCTCGTCTGGTCTTCCAAACGAATCTTGCTCATGTCTTTGGCTCGCACCTTCTTCATCCCGATCTTCCTAATGTGCAACATCCAAAGGTCTTCGACTAGCGGACCGTCCACAGCAATTATCAGCTCGGATGTCCTCTTCATGCTGATTCTTGTCGCATTTGGCATGACCAATGGCTATGTCTCTAGTCTCTGCATGATGGCCGCTCCTTCGGTAGAGCATAATCCTCGTCTCAAGGGCAGAGTGGAGGATGTTGACGTTGCAGCAAATGTTGCCAGCTTCTGCTTGGTGGGGGGCTTGGCAGTCGGGAGCTTCGGGAGCTTTGCGGTTCGGGCAGCAGTTTGTGGATGTAATCCCTTCATTGGATGACATTGTCTAGCACGTTCTTGGACTTTTAGACCATGGCCGACTTTCGCCTGATTATTCGATTCTGTGTATATTACGTGCCGATGCGTATACTCTAATGCCTCAATGTCCCAGAGGCAAGCTCAAGATCAGCGACATGATCACGGCGTCGATTAGGTCAAAAGACAACGCGGCCGCATAAGAGCGCATGTTAAGCTCGTTTGTGGCTGGAGTTTCGGGGGAATTCGCTGAACTCAAAAGCAGCCCGCGATGCCGGAACGGAACAAGCCAGCATTCTGTGAGACATATTCTTTCTACGTCATGAGCCCGGACGATAACGGGGAATCAGCAAATGGAGACGAAGTTTGTCATCGAACCCAACCGAAGACGCTTCTACAAGCCGTGTAATCCGGCGGGAGATCTACTGCAGCCTGCAGGACACAGGTGAGTAGCTATGCTGCAACAGGAAGTGGGTATGAGTGATTGTAAGCTCACCATGCGACATGAGAACAGTCTTAGAGACTAAAGTCTGGAACACTATCATGTGAGCCAACCGGTAGACAACGCGGAAACTCTATGCTCTGCACGGCATTCAGAAAGAGATACATACCTGCCTCGTTCCTAATGATAAGATGATGCAATTAGGGAAGAGGGGCCTTCGGAGCCTGCGGCAAACGGGGCGCAACGGCGTTAGCCTGTGCCATCTGCCTGCGTTTGCGGTGTTCCGTCTGCCGCAATGAGAAGATATCACGATGGAGGGTATAACGCTCGTGGGTATTCCGAGGAGTAACAGCACCAGAAATTGTGTTCGGTGGCGTCGCAGAGGCCTTGCGATCCTCGGTCGACTTTCTCTCCTTATCCTCCTGCGCTTTGCCTGAATCATCCTTATTGTCCTTCTCTTTCTCTTTCTCCTTCTCTTTCTCCTTTTCCTTTTTCCGAGCCTGCCGCTCTTCCCAATCTGCTTTGACCTTGGCCATCTCCTCCGGACTCAATCCCACCTTTTTACCATTAGCCCCCACGCCATCTCTGCTCTCGCTCTCTGTGACCTTGGCAGCAAAGCCGGGGTCCGTCAAGTGACCCTCGCACACATATATGAAGTCTACAGTGTTTATGGTGGCAAGGACGGCGGTCGTTGGCTTGTAGCATACGTAGCATGCCCGGGGCGTTCCTGCCGTCTGAAACATAGACCCGTTGTTGGCACGGTCAGCTGGACTGCACTGGTTAGATACCCACCCTCTTGTAATACAGATTCGTGAAGGACATCGCCGCCGGGTCAGCTGGACGTATGAAACCGGGATGTGGTGGGAGGAGAGTTGTGTGAACCGAATGGAGTAGGGAAAACTGATCTCACCGATTGCTGAGCAATATGAAGGAGACTGCGAGGAGCTCCTGAGTCCAGCTTCTGGCCTGCTTACTTGACTCCCACCACCATGTCTGACACTGCCGGAAAAACCATCAAGTGCAAGGCCGCTGTCTGTTGGGGTGCTGGCGAGCCTCTCAAGATCGAGGAGGTCGAGGTTGCCCCTCCGCAGGCTCACGAAGTTCGCATCAGGATTCTGCACACAGGTAGGCTCATATGACCTTCGTATCGACCTGCACGTACTTATGTCTCTCAGGAATTTGTCACACGGATGAGTACACTCGCAGTGGCAAGGACCCAGAGGTCAGCCGCTGAGCACGCTTCTGTAACCGTGATGGTCCTCATACACGTACCGATAGGGTCTCTTCCCGGTTATCCTCGGCCATGAGGGTGGGGGCATCGTGCGTCTCTCCTATACATGTTCCAGGCCGGTATTAACCAGTGTTCCCAGGTCGAATCCGTTGGTGAGGGCGTCACCGGTGTGAAAGTCGTAAGTCCTATCTCGCGAGCTTGGACGCGTTGATGTCGCGGATTCGAATTCATATCGACGATCCCCCAGGGCGACCATGTTATCCCGCTTTACACTGCTGGTGCGTGCTCGTCAGCATTCCTCTTCTGATAATCTATTCATGCCGCCCCCTATGCGTAGAGTGCCGCGAGTGCAAGTTCTGCAAGAGCGGCAAGACCAACCTTTGCGGCAAGGGTATGTTTCCCTCACGCGACTCACGCGCCGTTGCGTTCAATGACGCGTATCTCAGTTCGCGCCACCCAAGGCAAAGGTTTAATGCCTGATAACACTTCCCGTTTCTCTATCAATGGCCAGCCCATCCACCACTTCGTGAGTACCTTCGCAATGTGCGGTGGTCCCTGCTACTGACAGCTGTTCTCCAGATGGGTACTTCTACCTTTTCCCAGTATACTGTAGTTGCGGATGTCTCCGTCGTTGCAGTTAACCCTCAGGCACCTCTCGACAAGGTCTGCCTCCTCGGCTGTGGCATTACCACTGCGTGGGGCGCCGTGGTTAAGCAGCCCGGAATCAGTATGTTCATCGCCATTGTTATCATTTCTCTCTTGCTGATGTATATATTATCTCCAGCTGGTTCTACAGTTGCTGTCTTCGGCTGCGGCGCCATCGGTCTCGGTGCCATCGCTACTTCCTCACTCGTGAAGGCATCTCGCGTCATTGCCGTCGACACCAATTCCGACAAGGAGTCTTGGGCGCGCAAGTTCGGTGCTACCGACTTTATCAATCCAGCTAAGCTTCCTGAGGGCCAGAAGATCCAAGATTACCTTGTTGAGCTGACCGATGGCGGCCTCGACTATACTTTTGACTGCACGGGCAATGTGATTACCTCTAGCCCTACCCGTTCGTAATATTCTGATCGGCCCTTCAGGTTCACGTCATGCGTGCTGCTCTCGAGGCATGCCACAAGGGGTGGGGTATCAGCACCATCATTGGCGTTGCCGCTGCTGGCCAGGAGATCTCCACCCGTCCGTTCCAGCTCGTCACCGGACGTACGTGGCGCGGTTCTGCTTTCGGCGGCGTGAAAGGGCGCACCGAGCTTCCCGGTCTTGTTGATGGTAAGAAGCAGCGTACATGTGCTCACGTCTTACATATCTGAGCTGATCGCGTTGTCTAGATTACTTGGCCGGCAAGGTCAAGGTCGACGAATACGTCACTCACCACAGGACTCTTGCAGACATCTACGAAGGCTTCCACGACATGCACGTAAGTGGTTGCTTACTCTTTATCTGGCATTGTCGAACTAAATGACGATCTTTTAGTCTGGCAATTGCATTCGCTGCGTTGTTGACATGCAATAAATGTTCGCGTACCTTTAGTAGAAGCAGGACAAATATGATCGTGTAGCAAAGAAGCCAATATCAACTGTATTAGTGTGACTAGCAATTCAATGCACGTGTTCTTGAATAGGACTTTTATGCGACTATGCTATTACAAGCTGTATGAACACAATGACTTGCCCGTGTGGCGCTGCAAGTTCGGAAGCAAAACATAGATCAAACACCACGATCTACGAGGACGCGCGGAACCTGCCGGCCAACGAGAATCCACCACAAACGTTGAAGAGTGTCCCGCACGGCCTGCCTCCTTACACCACTTCGCCGCCAGAACATTCTCAAGACGGCCAAGACACAAAGTAGGAAGGAAACATCTAACATCAGCCGTCTTATGACGACTAACGTTGGCGAGCGATTGTCGTTGTACAACAAGAAGTCCGTCAGCTTGCGAAAGCGGGACAGAATCGCGGCGAGGGGGTTCAGGATCAGCGACCACATCCCCATGTCTTCAAATGTAAAGGAGTCGTGGGAACTGCCAGGGGGACTAACACCTCTGTTGCCAGCTAGCCATTGAGGCGAGCGTACACCGCTGCCACTGACCAGCAAAGTCGTTGATCTATACGCCATGGTCTCGAGAGAATCGATGCGTTCGGAGAGCGCCGCAAGATGTGTTTGCACGTTTTGTATGGCCCTCTCGAGAGCAATCAGTGGAGGTGGGTTGCTCTGTAGGGCGTAGGGCCGGCCTGTGTACTCGGGTTGCATGCTAGCGCTCCGGTATGGCAATTGTACTGGCATCCGATCCGGTGGAGACACGATTTCCGTCCTCGTTAAATGCGAACCGTGTGCGTGGTAGGAAGCAGTCGATGCAGCATATGTGGACGGCGGCACAGAGGAGTGCTCGGCATAAGCCGATTCTGTCTCAAATCGTGGCATTGGCTGGGTAGGGGGAACACTCATGCTACCTGCTTGTGGCGACATGTGCATGGACGCCATGGGTGTGCGGTATCGTCGTGACGAGAGCGATGATTGCGGACGGTTCATTTGTTGGACGTACGCTGAGGGCGGTACAGGTAGCGGCGGACGTAGTTCGTCTGTCAATTCATCGTCCTCTTCTCCGCTGGGGGTCGGGTCTTCGTACTGAATGTCCACACCGCGGTGTTGAGGATGGGCATGAGAGTCAGACGCGTATAACGACTGGCTAACAGTTGGATATTGGCGCGTCCCAGTCGAGTAGTGTAGTCCTGACGGCCCTGCATTGGAAGAGCCGGAACTTGAGGAGCTTGAAGAACGAGACCTGGAGAAAGATCCTATAACCAGTTTTCATCAGTCATACGCCCGAGTCTGTAACAACTAACTCACCACTCATCACGAGATCTGGAGTTTCCGCAGTATAAGACTCGAGTTCCCTCACATAATCCATGGCGACAGTTTTGTCTGAATATCTCCGAAGCACCTGTGGTTGAACGTAAATTCATTATCAACAATTCAGATGATCTTTCGTACCTTCAGGAGAGCTTCAACATACATGATCTTTGCCTGATACGCATCCAAATCCTTGTACTTGGCCCACGCATCCCTACAGATCGCAATATCTTAGTATGGGGTTATCTCTTGGGTGTCCCGAACACTAACCACTTGGCTCGGGCAAGCAGCTCCCATATAGGCGGGCGGGGGCCTTGCACGTTGCCCATGGTCGCTAGACGTCGGGTTCATGACAGTAGAAGTGAGCGGACGCGAGATATGGGTATGACCGTATGGGTCACCTTGTTTAAACAGACTAGGAGTGCAGGATGTATCAGCGCAAGCTGAAGACTGTGCATGGAGAACACACCTATACATGTTCAGCTTGGCTTCATAGCCCGTCTCCATCGGGCCAATCTTCGAGAAATTCTGGACAATTTCAACCGCACGGTTGAACTGTGCATCGATGACACCGTGGGGGTCCATAATGTCCGTTGCGCTTGCGAGGGATTGTACGAGTCTATGTAAGGTATGTTGCGGATGCGGTGGAAGACACAGTAGAGTGGGATGATACGGAGAACTTGCCCTTCCCTACTAAAATGATATGCGGATAGCGGTTGTCGGCGATAGCGGAGGGAGGAGGTAGCTCGAGAGTTGACAACAAGTCGAGAAGCACACCAACCGGATGTAATTACCAACTTAGCAGCTCTTTCTCACGCTTGCCCGACTCAGTTTGCGGCCCAAATCCCGGAGAATGCATAATTATGCCAATGGATAGCAAAGCGAGTACAACGAGAGAAAGCATGATACAATGGTAAAGGAAAATACCAGCCAACAACGTGCATAGCCCACTGGTACCAGCACATCTTATCGACTACTAAGTCGGAAGACCTTTCCATTATCGCTGCGGGAAACATTCTCACTTTTTGGCATTGGTATAGATTGGGAAGGATAGTGTATGGGTTCTAGGGTTGGATTGCGCTTATGACAACGTCGTGGCAGCCGCTTGTGTTCCTTGGGGTTTTCCTCGTGACGCGCCTTGCTTCCAGTCGTACTTAAGACCACCTGGGATACGTACTTCCCGTATGTTGATGGTTTTGCCTATATAGTAACGAATGAACCAGATGCAGTATGAGAATTAGAATTAAGACCAAAGTAGGCCGAAGGCTATGACACCCTCTAGATTAAGACATACCTCTCCAAACCAGCTTACCCCATACCTTTCCGTGCTGGCCCTCCAACTTCAGCTTTGTCCGCGTGATCAGCCAGTAGCTGTCCGCAATCCCCTTCGTATTCCATCTTATTTGGTGTACGTGCTGACCAACACCATCCTTGGGGTACCGGGAGAGCACTGAATAGAGCGACCCGGAACGCGACTGCAAGGATGGCGGGAGCTCGGCGGGAAGTAGCTGCTTCAGCGCGGCGGCGACTTTTGATGCCGCCATGTTTTGCAGGCTCGGATTAAGATGTATGAAGTGGGAGTAAAGCAAGCAACTGGGCCAGACGTTGGCCGAGAGCTAGTAAACCGTGAGGGCAGAGAAGAAAGCGCTTGGCGCCGAACAGAGACCATCAATAGTTCCGCCGCCACAAAGCTGAAAGAGACTCCCACCTGACCTTGAGCCTTCCTCCATGCTCTCTGCCGTACGATGTTCGCGGATCTTGCGAAACAATTACATTTCATCGTCCCTAAAAGACTCAGTCCGCTGGAGTAGCTCTGCACCTTCCCGACGTGCAGCGGCCGAGGTAGACGAATGTGGGATTCCTCGAGGACCGACGTGGTCCGTCAACGAGCTGCTGTCCTCTTATCCTAAACCCACCATCACTCCGGCTACCTTGAAGAAACTGCATAATCTTTCCGCTCTCATTCCACCGGGGGAGAATACATCAGAACACGCGAAGCTCACCGCTGAGGTGGAGAGCCTCGTCAAATTGGTGGAGGCGGTCAAGCTTGTAGACTTTGGACAGCACGAGGTATCGCAAGCGGGCGACATTCCGGATGGGAGGATATGGGCTGAGGGTACAGGCATCAGGCTGGAGCGCGATGAAGTTTCGCAGGAGTTACATGGAAGAGATCTACTACGCAACGCTTCCCGCACCGAAGATGGCCTGTATGTCGTTGATATTGATAGGTCGAGGTGAAGAGCGCCATTTTTTCGTGCGATTGGAGGGAGAAGCGTTGAGAGTGCGTGCATAGCGCTCATCATCAAACTACAGGAGGTGAGTCGGTTTGGCACTGAGTTGCATGTTTAATCACACATATTTCAGGCTTTTGCTAGGTACGAATGGTCATAATAGCACACGCTTGTGTTTGTCGCTGCTTGTGCAAGCGTTGTGGCACCACCCTGCCTGTAGCATGTTATGTAACCTTCTGTTCACTCCAGAGGCTCACGAAACGTGTGTCGAAGTTGTCCTGTACGTTTTTACGAAGACATCATCGTTGATGTATTACCTTGCAGATAGTATTCCTCATCTGCTGGTAGATTCAAATCATTGGCTCAGATTGACTACTACCTCTGGTGGACTGTAGGCTTTTGCGACAGATGAGTTAAATTCTGCCCCCCCCCCCCCCCCCCC